GAAATGGGAGCCGGTAACCGTAGCGGTAAAACCGCGGTTAACCGCTAGTTTTTCCGGTACCCTTTTTTTTACCGTCATCATATAGGAAAAAAAGATGTCTAAAATAGCCCGATCAATGACTTTTAGCAACAATTTTTTATAAACGCTCAGCGAACCGGTTAATCGAAAAATACCGGCGGTAAACCGCGGTGTTTCCCGAAACCCCCGGTTTACCGCGGTAAATTTGTGTTGATGGGAGCCGGTAACCGGAGGGGTAAAACCGCGGTAAGCCGTCAATTTTACTCCGGTTTTTCCAACATGGGTATGTAAATATAAAGTTGCTTTCTTCCTTTTTTCTTTTATTTCAAAATATTTTATGTTTACATTTTGCACATTGTCTTCCTATTTTCTCATGAGCAGTTTTTCATTATCCCTGTTTGTTATTGTCATGCGATAAAGTATTGCTTTCGGTCTCATACTTAATGATGTTATATTGAAATCATCCATAAGTGAGTTAAGAACATGCTTTGAAAAGAAAGAAAAGAAAAATGTGCGTTTTATTTTATTGCAACTATAAAAGAAATAAGCAAAAGCAATAGCTATGTAACGAATATTAGAAAAACTGGGGTTATTATTTATGTGAATTATATCATTTTTTGGAATAAAAATGACAACATTTCACTTAGCTACAATAAATGTTCATCATTTTAGGCATTCAGTGACTTATAATATTAATATAGAAGAATTAGTAGGCATTCATAAGCCATATGATCTGGCTTTTGTTGTGGCTCAAGAAATAAACTCTTTTGATAATTGGTCAAAATTCTGCAATCTGCTTGGTTTAGAAAATATTGTATTTGGTGCCAGTGAAAGCGATAGTTTTGGTAATGGTATTGCATCGCGATATTCATTTAAATCTTTTTCAAATCAACCAACAAGTTTTTCTTGCTTTGATGTTGTAAGAGCCTTATTGCAATGTCGTTTAGATGATGATCATTCATTTTGTAAAGATCGAACATTTGCTGTGACACATTTAGACTATAGAAATGAAGATGATCGTCAAAACAAATGAAAAAGTTTGATCTAGTTCAAAATAATATTGATATATTAATGGGCGATATGAATTCATTGACACGAGATGATTACTCTAATGATTACTATCAAATAAATATATTGGAACTGCGTGAAAAATCTGAATGGCCGAAACCTTACTTCGACTTAACTAATTTAGTACTAGATCAATGGTCATATATAGATGCTTTCAGACAAATAAATCCCGACTTGAACGATGAGAAAGTTGCTACATGTCAATTTACTATTCGTATTGATTATATTTATGTGCGTCTTCGTGTTAATGATTCATGAATTTTAGAAGAATGTTCTATTATTGATACTAAAAATAGTACTGATCATAATGCTGTTTTTGCTGCATCTAAACTCGTAGAAAAATCATAAGATTAATGTGTAGTTTTATTAATTGTTTCTCTTCTTGTGACATTTAATTGCAATATTTTAATATAGAAACATTTTTTTTCCAGGGTTATGCTCTTTTTTGTAACGAAACTATAATTTATAACGTCTCAAAAACAGTTCATTTTATTTAAAAGATTCAATCGATGAGAATTATAACTGAAAATGTTCACTCATCTTAGAACAATACGTGACTGTATACTATCAATAGATAAAAAGCAACATTTTTTAACAGGCATATGTAGCTTCTTCATTACAAGAATTCTATTCGAAGTAACAAGATCGTTGGTTTATTTTTTTTGGATTATAATGCATATTGCCCACAAGATTTTCAACATGGAATCATCTATTCCATCATGAATAAGTATGTATGTATAGACTATTTCTCTCTACCATCAACTTCAATTTATTTCAAGCCGCACAATTCTACTAGGATATTCCAATGATATTTATCAAATGATTAATTATAGAAATCTCGTATAAATAACTAAGTCAAATGTTCGTTGAAAACAGAAGAATAAAATAATATCATCATGAATGAAAATGTCTCATTTCGAACATTTTTTGGCCAGATAAGAATTTTTTTGTAATTTTGGAATCATATTCGGATTAGTAGTTGAGCCATTTGAACAATAGAACCGTAGTTCATACGAGCATAGTACCAACTTTCTAGCTAGATTTTCTCATATCGACTGTATACGTCCTTGAAATATACAAGTCAATTGAATTAGACTTTTGCTAGTAACCTTTGATATTGTGAATGTATAGGTAATAGTATATGATTACAATAAATTTAACTAGTATCATTCATAGATATGATTATTCTAGAAATAGTGTCATATTCAAAATCATGTGGACAGGTTAACGATATTTCCGACTTCGGAAATATGCTTTTCTAGGCACTATTGATTGTGTCATAGGAGTTACATTTGTGAATTCTAGTGTGAAACAGATTGCATGATTTTATCAAGAAGAAAAAAAAATATTTCTGGTCGGTACTAAATATGGACAGCTAATATTATCGAGCGTACCGAACGTTTCCTTATTTTTAGTGCAAATCAAACTATTTGAAGTTGAATGTTGCACGTGCTATCTTTAACAAATCGTTTTATTCAACAACAGATTCGATTGTTTCTTAGTTTACTTTCTATATTCTTTGCCGAATGCATCGGCTTCTGCCAGATATATCATGAAATTTAAATACGAAAATAATTATTTACGTCAATTAATATTGGTACAGCGAACAATTTTGATATCGCTAATTTATCTCCATATTACATATAATCGTTACCAAAAACCTATGGAAATTTTAAATGATCATTCGTCCTTAATAACGTATTTGTATTTTGAAACTAACAGAACTTAAGTATAGTTTGAAAATTTTATTAGAATAATTGATTATTTCTTAAGATCGATAAAATTTTCTGGAATCATTGAATGATCGCGTTCAACTACTCAGTCTACTGCAGTTGTATATTATTGGTTGAAACTTTTATTGACAAATGATAAGAAACTGATATATATGAATGTACTATCTAAGAACATCAAAGTTCGTAACTCATTTAGTTGATGAATCATCGAATGAACTCTACGAATCGAGCGTATTTTACTAGCAATGAATACTGATGAAAATTTATAATTGTAGGTGCGAATCTCTTCTAAACCTGCACCAACAGCAGACATATGAGTCACATTATATATGAAATTGATACCAGCGAGCAAATTCGATCAATAGAATCAATTGAATTGACATACCTTTCTATTCTGGTTCAGTCTACTGGATTAGCCAAACTTGTACTAGTACTGATGGTTAATCGTCCATATAAACCTCAGCAAATTCACATCTGAACTCTTATTTATTGACACTTCATACGTTTGCAGTCTGAAAGACTTACTTCTAACCTAATGCTAATTTCACTGGATGACGCAAATGAATTACAATATAATTCAGAGCTAAAACTAAATTTCTACAGATATCTACCAGGGTCTACTGCTATTTACCAGAGGGTGTGGGTGTGGGTATCACGAAAGGCTGAAAAAAACATCTGCACACATACATAACATCTCAACTGTGGGTGCCATGAAAGGCTGAAAACAACGTCTGCACACATACATAACATCTTTACTGTGGGTGCCACGATAGGCTGAAAATCAATCAGTTACCATGATTGAAAACCGTGCCCTAACAGATACCTACCGTGCCCGTGAGCATTACCGTGACCCTTCGATCTACTCATTTATCTATTTATCTATCTATCTATCTATATGTGGATTGGTGACAGTTTTTTTTGGAGAATCCCACTGATACTATCACTAATATTTGTCATGCACTCGTCTACGAATATCGTGAGGATGTGGGTGCTAGGCATGAGGAAGACATTCTCATTCACAACCACACCTACACCCTCGTAGACACTGGTAGACCTTCTAGACCCTGGTAGATACATGTAGACCCTGGTAAACAGGTGTAGACCCTGGTACGTCGTGTAAGACTTATGGTCTTTCTCTTAGTTAGAATAGGCGAAGGTTTGATTGAATTCTGAATTACTTTATAATTCATTTACGTCATGCACTCGCTAATTTTATCTGCAGACAATATGATTGATTTTCGAATTAAAATATTGTCTTGATGAATTCGAAATCATAGTAGATAATAACGTTGATAATCACTTACACGTTAATCTACCTGCAAGACTTTTCACATAGTTGTGTTAATATGTGCCAGGTAGGACTTCTTGTGTAATACGCTTACAACTAGGAAACAGTTAACATTCTATTAAGTGAATGTCTTGGTTATAATTTCTTATTAATAGATAAGTTATTCGCCTCAATATTGGAGATAGAAATAAATAATACAAGGATACGAGTAAAAAAAGGAATGGTAGAATCACACCGGAAAATAACTGGTTTATATTTAAAAAAAAGAATCCATTTGAAAATGAAATTATTGAGCTCTCATAGATATTCCTTACAGATGAAATGGTTTATCATTGTCTTGTTCTGCTGTGATGATCATAATGTGAATATCAACATTTAAGTTCCTATGAAATAGAATTAGAACAAGAACTATAATCATCCGTTTTATATATACTGTTCATACGCTTATAACATTGTTCATTAACTGGCTCACCTGCAGTATCATTAGAGTTTGTTGAATGAGTACGATTTTCTGTAGATGTTAGTTCTGCAGTATGAATTGTAGTTTGATATTTTGGTGCTGATTTCAAAACTAGACGTAAGATATATACAATGTATTTCTAATTAGTTAGATGATTGTTTTGAAGTAGTCAATTTATCAAGTCGCGATGTATTAGAGAAATCAGTCGCTATTAGAATTTTAAAAATCTTTCTTTTTCTCTTCTTTCAAATTATTGAGATTCTTTTTAGAATAATTGACAGCTATAATAATTTCTCTTTTCCTGTAGTTTTGATCAATCACGAATATGAAATAAATATGACCTACCACTATTTAATCGATTGGTACGTCTTAAATATTCTTCTACACAATTATTTACCAACATATATTGATCCTATACAGAAAGAAATGTTTTATCATTGATATGAATATTAAATAAAAATGTTACCTTTGTTTGTACCATTTTCCCTCTGTCTTGTCTTAACTGATAAACAATACCCATAACATCAAGTTTCATTGTTGATAATTCATTTTTTTGTCGCTCAATTAAAGACATAATAATGTCCACTGCTATATAAGTACCTGTTCGACCGACACCAGCGCTAAAAGAAAAATATAAGATAAAAAAAAGTTAATTATAATTATTCTTGATAGAACTCAAAACCTGCAATGAACAACTATAGGAGTTAATGAAATTTCTTTCATTTTTTCAACTGGTATCGGTCGATTTGGCTTATGCTTGTTAATATTTTCAATAAGATTAATTAATTCTTGTGGATCAACAACACTGAAATCTGGCCAACCTGTAAAATAATAGTGAAATACATGATGATCATTGTTATCCTTAAAAATACAATTAATTGATTATTGAAAAACGAAAAATTCAAAATAAAAATTACATATTTAATAACTAGGTGGCGAATTTCGAGGTCCGGCTGATTTTCAATATCTATCACTTCAATAGATATTCTAGATATTCTCAATACGCCTCCTTTCTTCTCAGGAAAATATTGGGCACATTTTGGCTAAAATATCATAGAAAATATTGGAATGGCTCATAAGAAAAATAATTATTACTAATTGTTGTGCAGGATTATGAGGATTTTGTTCTTCTGTTCTCGTCAACATGACAATTTTTTTTACGCCATATTGAATAATCATATCCCAAAAATCTTCGCGAGTTCCTTGTAATGGACCTTGACAAGCTATGTATTGTTTTTCACCGTGTAATCCCTATTTTAGAATATAGATATCGCAGTAAATAATTTTAATCGATACGCATTACTTTGATTTCATTTGCATTAATATAATCATGATCACGCGGATTACTACCAACAGCACGCAATCGAACAGCTGTGCTGTCCCCTGCGATTAAAAACCAACAAGAGAAGTAAATTATACATTTTTTTAAAGTTAATTTACATACAAGGTCCTCGGGCGGAAATGTTAGAATAACGATCGTAATCTTTATATTTAAGATCACATTCTGATTGACGATACTGTGGTGTGGTATCATCTAGTTCCTATGTATAATGATCAATTATTGCATCTAGTAATAAATGCTGTGAAATATATGACGTGTGCATAATTTTGACGGTAAATTTTAAAATTTTCTACTCTGTTAATTTATCGTTTTCTTTCAAAGATTCTATGTTTAGATTCATTCTTTACACGATATGACGTATTCTTTGACAAATATAATCGCTTGCTTTTTGCAACTATCGAAATAGCCATGGCAACTTATGGCACAGCTTCTTTCAGCTGTTTCTTTAACATAAACTTTGTGTTAATTTAAAGCAAGTATTCACAAAAGAAAAAACAATATTTGGCCTGAAAAATCAGAGAGTATGTATTAGAATTATATAGCAACAGAAGTTTAGGCTATTACGTCAGTTGAAATTTACTAATGGTTAGAAAATTCAAAAGATTAGATTTGGAATATGAAACAAACATCTTTTCAGAAAATTCAAAAGAAAAGAATGTGTTTTTTTATAAAGAAAAGCAATATCATGGTAGAATGAAAAGTGAAAAGCTTTTGACTTAAATTGTGAGAGGATCATTAATTCTATTTCAGTTATCATGCAATATATTTTACTGACTTGATATTCGTCATATATTGATCTTTCGTCTTCGTTCGTCATATTAACGTATTTAAAAAGTGATTTCGGTCTAAATTAGAAGAAACGATTGAGTTCATCGGGATGTATTTATGCAAGAAAAATAATTAGAATGCAACCTAACAGTGATTTTCATTCTAATGCATTATAATCATGAACAAAAACTTACTTTTTCGTTGGAATCGTGTTTACTGATGATAATAACATTGATGGATCACTAGAATGAAAAATAGATTGTTGTTTAGAACAATTAGATGTCTTTATAGAACAAGACTAATTCCATTTTTTCTACCGTTCATCATCTACATGTCTAAACGAAGAATTGACCATCATATTAGAAAAGGTTTCAATTCTTTTTTTACTGTCTAGTTTTGCGGCCAATCATGCCCTCAAGTTGTTTCCGTTTCCATACAGCTAGAGATGCAATAATCACAAGAAACAAAAGCGGAAATACTATAACCCATGATTTTGATGAGCCTGGTCCTGGTTTGGTGGAGGGTAAATCTTTACAATGCATAAAAATAATTATAACGTGAATCAAAAGAACTAAATATTATTTACTCTGTGTTTGAAATTGTTTAGACAGAACATGAGTACAACCAGCGTCTGTACAGGCACCCACAATCACTCTATTTATTTATTATATTGAAGCAATAACTCGAAGAAAAATAGACTGAAATATACTTATAGCTTGTCGATGGTTTTAGTGGGCCATTACATCGAGTTGAATTTAGAGATTTATTTAAACATTCTGTTTCGTTGCCAAGTAGTACAGTAATATTGTTAAAATCGTGCATTACTATACTGGGAGAAAAATAAAGCTATGTAGTAATTTTGTTTTGATGAAAATAGACGTGTTTTTTTCTTGAATATTATAAATTCTCGAGTTTCTTACTCATTGCTGTTAAAGAAATTATCGGTATCTCAACAGCTAAATAATCAAACGATGTATTATGCCAAGCATCAGTATAAGTACCATTTAAAAATATTTCTGAGTCATTGTTGTTTAGATCTACACGATAAAAGATCATTCGCATGTATAGCGTGTGTACAAAAAATAAAATGAAAATAATATTTTTACCTTGACGTACATAAATTAAATATTTTTCTACAATTCCATACTCATCAGAAAATAATGATAGATCTACATTAATAACATACTGATTAGTTGTTGATGCCTTATCATCCTTTTGTGGAACAATTTTCTTTTCCACATCGATAGGAGCTGGTCTTTTAGGTGCTACACATAGTTGAGATTAAATAAAATTCAATTAAAATAACATATAGTATAAATTACCTTCTGATTTTGTTTTAACAATGATCGGTTCCGATAGTGTCCTATGATTTGCATTAAGTTCAACACGAAGTTCATACCTAAACCGAAAAAAAAGCCTTAGAAAAGATTTAAAAATAAAATAAAATAAAACACAACTACTTGCCATTTAAATGGTTCGATGTTATTTGTGTAATTAAACGAAAATTTTGTGTTGTCTATTAAAACTGTTGAGTCAGTTAAGTTTGCTTCCAACGTCTCGTTTTTGAATAAATTAAATGATTCAATATAGGAATTTTCATCTATTACCCAATTAAGATGTATCCATCGAGATGCTGTTCTATTTTCTTTGATCATCGGTATTGGAGGATCTAAAACAAATCTTGATTAGATTCGTTGTATTCAATCAATAACTTAATTACGCAGAGAAATGTTGATACTTTGTGAAATCGCCTCACTATAATTCATTTTTCGCGTAGTAAATGAGCAATTATAGTCACATCCACGAGTTCCATTAGTTTCCAAATTTGTGGAACAAGTAGCTTGTGAATGTTTTATAGTAGAACAATATTGGGATCGATGGCCAACTACGTCACAGCTAAATAAAATGCTATTGTAGTCACTTTGATGAGTAAAATTGAACATGATACGACTTGAGTTAAAATCACGCACTTCATTATAAAGTACAGGCTTAAGAGCTAGTTCAAGAAGAGTAAACATATTATTGAATGAATTTACAGTGACATCAGCTACTCACTTGTGTTAAAACTTAAGTCATCCGATTTGGTAGAATTGAAAGAGCGTTTTATAGTCATAGCATGACATACGTAGTTGACTCCTTGAATTACTTTAGACATTAAAACAAACGAGTAATTGGAACAGTTGCTAATGCTGGCAGTCAAATTTTTAACAGATTCGCTGCAATTTTGATCTTTTGCAACACACTCAAAATGAATCGTCTCATAATATTCTCTTGGAGGAGTGAAATGAATGATTCCTGTTCCATTTTCCATCATAGTACTATTGAACGTCATATTTTTTGTTTTATCCAGACCTAAAATGGCAAAACAGTCGAGGAAGAGCAAGAGGTTTAGATTGTAGGTTAGTTATCGTCTAATTTTTACCTATTTGATATTTTTGAGTGATTCTGTCTTCGAGAAACGTCCTATTTGTGCCATATACGGGAATAGGTAATCGAATTAATGTTGCTTCATAAGAAGAACCTGGCTGTAGATTATCACATGTTTGTGTACAGTTTTCAAGAAGAAATCTATTTGACTTATTGACAGTGCCGCATTCAAAGACGAGGTATTCTAATTCTGCTATTTTCTCGCAATTCTGCACTGTAATTGATGCTGATGATAGACTTTCATCAGGAATAATTACGATATATGCCGAATTATTAAGAGGTAATGGCTCAAGTGTAACGATGAATGTTTCATTGTCGATTAATTGATTACGATTACGTTGAGTAAGAACAAATGTGAAGTTACGACCAGCCTGATTTTCGATACTCTGGCATGTAACATCAACTGTACTATTAAGAGTCATGTTTGCAGAATGTTTAGTAATAGAACAATTTGCTATTGTGTCGTAGTGTATTTCTAAATCAGATGGCTCTATCGAGCCACAGTCATAAGTAATGGCTGCTGTAAACGTCGATGATGTCAAATTAGTTACATTAATGGCATTCGTTTCATTAGCACTGCATATCTGAACTGAAAAAGTAAACAGTACATAAGATTAATGGATTTTTCGAGAGCAAACATTTTATCTTTACTGGTCGTTGTTGTTGTTGATGTTATATTTGTTGATAGTTGTCTACCATTTTCTTTTAAAATGTTATCTACGATTGCATCTTCTGTTATGCTATGTATGTAAGTAGCTAATGGCATGGTTACATGTGCTGCGGAATCACTAATTTTCTTTTCGAAACTCCCAATACTCCTGAAATTATTATTCTCATTAGTGATTTTATACACATCCGCTGCCAGCGTTGATTTGGTACTAATATCTATGATGCCATTTAAAATCAAACAATAATTCTACATACAAAGATTAGTCGCTAACCTGAGTTAGGAGAAGTCATTGAATCCATCATAAAAGAGTGAATTTCATGCATGATATTAGCTGAATTATGTGTAACATTTCTCAATTGACCATTAACACTTATTGCACCTACCTGAAAGGGCACAAGAAATATTATAATCGAATTATCATTGTTTTTGTGTTTCTCAATAAATATTTTACCAATAGAAACAATTGGTTTAAACACAACAGTCTTAGAAATGTAATATTCATAATCAGCACTCTCTCTTTCTAATTGAATAACTGTATTGACTATTCTAGTTGCGTTCGTTAGTTAAATAACTATTCGATTACTTGTATTACCAGTTGAAGAATCTTAACATCAGTTGATGCGCTATAATAACAGGTAACTGAAAATGTTTGCAACAGCTTTAGCTATAATGTTATCAGGAAGACAACTGTTTTCGTGTACGACTCTCAAAATATTTTTTATCGCGAATGAAAAAGGAAAGAGAGTTACTTTTTCAACGCAAAACATCGAAAGTTGGTAGCTATGATATAAATATCAGAATGACAAGAGCATTTGAATGAGAAACAGAATACGAACATTGAATCATTCCTTGATCAAACATTAACATGGAGACATAGACATCAGTGATATTATTAGATTTCTTTTTTTTGTTCTTTAAAGAAAAGAGTTTATCAGTACAGGTTTTCATTTGACTACTTTTTTAACATAAGTTTCATTAGCATTATCAAGAAATTTCTACTTAAACAGAAGAAGAAGATTTTAGTGAAAAGATTACATCAGTTTGTATCATTATACAGAAATATAATGATATCATCAAATGCTGTGCTAATTTTAAGACCAACATTGCCAATAGAATAAATATGTTAATTATGAATAAAAATATTTAGAAACACAGTATTGATCATCGTACATGAATTCATGCCAAAGAATTGACTATAGAAAAAAGATTCAACGTAAATTAAAAAGATATAAAAAGAGGACAAGTTTCTTTTTTGTTGATATATAATGTGAAATTTAATCAAGAGACTTTTATGTTCTCCCCGATGAAATATGACGACAGCCAAGTATCAATCAACGTATTTAAGTTGGAAACAAGTGATTGAAAGAAAAATTAAAGAATTTTTAATTCTTATGAATACATTCTCGGGATTAGATTTCTTCGAATGCAATGCATTTCTTATATCACAAAATAAAAAGATTTGCATAAATATATTTACACATATCTATCACTATTTATCGATATAACAAAATGGATAGAATTTTATCAGCCCTTACAACTTTATCATATTTATTTTTCTTACTCTTTTCATTGCAAGTCATTAATACAGATATACGTATACATAGAACAATTATTATGATTTATTTTTTAAATTGATACAGTATTCACATATACAATGTTTTTGATTTGTGACAATAATGTATAATATTCAATAATATATTTTAATTACAATTAAAATATATTTAGAAAGGCGACTATATTAGTTAAACCTCTCTAGATAGTATCGATCAAGGGGGGAAAAGCGGATTTTTGGGATTTTCAAAATCTCGAAATCCCATAATTTGAATAGCATTTTCATCTCTGTGAATGACGTAGTTTCGACCTAAAATTCTTCCCATATATAGGTTTCATGGTCCATAAAAGATCCTAAAAGTTTCAACTCAACTAAATGTTTCCTTCTTAAAATATTGAATTTTCAAAAAANCCATAATTTGAATAGCATTTTCATCTCTGTGAATGACGTAGTTTCGACCTGAAATTCTTCCCATATATAGGTTTCATGGTCCATAAAAGATCCTAAAAGTTTCAGCTCAACTAAATGTTTCCTTCTTAAAATATTGAATTTTCAAAAAAAACTGGATTTTCTGACCGTGCCGTGAAATGAGTATTTCTTGCGCATTCATTATCTTGAGAATGAAACGTCTGTTTGCGCTGAAAATTTTAGTATATTCTAAGAATTATAAGACTTACATATGGAAAAAATTCAGATGGAAATTCCATCATTCACGTTTTGGATTTTGGGATTTTGAAAATCCCAAATCCGCCTTTTCCCCCTTGGTATCGATCATCGTTTCATATTTAGATATAATATTTCTGATTTATTTTATTTTATATCGCTGACATTTTCTTAAGATTAACTAAAATAAAATCAGTACGACATTTGAAACGGATACTGTTCTATCATTTATTACTAATTTTAGACTGAATTAAACCAATTAGTTAAACTTAGATAACAATAAACTTATTTTGTTAATGTGCTTTTTTATAAATCTATGTTAAAAGTCATAAATGCTGCATACAAAAATAGCTCTTGATAATTTAATCAAATTATTTTCACATTGATGTTAAATAGAAAATGTTTCAGTTTAATTAAAATGAAAGAATATTCCATCGGCTGGTTGATTATATATATATATATTCTTTTTCACACGACTGCGCTCACAGAGTCGATGAACTCTTAATACGTAGTACAACAATAAAAAAAATATAAAAGATCTACTTATCGATTCAACCAAATGAATTCATTGTTTTCATTAAGCTCAGAATTTTTCTACGTCTTTTTCTGTTGATAGGAATAATATGAGTGAATCCTACTATTATATATTATTATTATTACCATCATTAAAGTGCTTTTGCATCTTATAAAATAAGCAAAATATTTATGAAGCGTTTCACAAGATAATAAAAAGAAGCAATCAATGATGCAATACTGATGTCCATAGAGCAAAATTTCAACACTATAAAGTAGTTTATATAAAAGTTAATCGTTATAAAACTTTAAAATTTTAAGCGTGAATACTTCTTTTTTCAAACCAAGATCGTTTTTTTTTGTCTGGACAAATTTGAATTACGAATTTCACTTGTAGTATACGAACCTCGATATTGAAAATTTGTATCCTTATTTAGAAAGCTGGTTCTGTCTAAGTCAATAGAATCTAATGCATACCGGGAGTGTTAGTTCTTTCTAATTACTATTTTGGATGACAGCGAAAAATAAAGGATACAGTGTTTGACATGTGTATTGCCCCTTTATTGATAACAGGCGAATTTGTTTTGATGATCGTAACTGTAACGATTAATAGTTGTATTTACTAACTTAGTTGGTATGAAAGAATAGCTTACAGTAAAATTATACCGATAGCCGAAAAATGGTCGGATGAGCATTTCACTTGATTTTCATTTTAATTTCAACAAAATCCTATTCTGCGATTTATATTTTAATACAACTCTGCTGTATTTCAAAAGTTTTGATGAATTTTTGTTGCAACACAAAGCATTATATTCAATCTGTTGTCTACTTTGAGCAGTTCCAAGAATTTTCAATGATACTTGTAGGACATTCTATAAACCCATGTCATACAACTAAAACGGTCGTAGTAGTAATAGTAAATACTATAGTAAATGATAAAATCATATTATATCTATATAAGTTCACATGTTCTGTGAACGCCATCTATCGTTTCACATTCTTATTGCAGGAATAAATCAACAAGTAATGTTGTAAAATAATGCAGTATATATATATCAGATCACTTGGTCCATCTTGTGTCATAAACATTGAATATATATTTTTAAATATTTATTGATTTATTTGTGTATTCTAGAGAAAGATCAATAAAAGGGATGCCTAATCGACGAAGATTTATTGATAAAAAAAAAGCAATCACATTTCAACTTGTTCATCGTAGTCAACATGATCCGTTAATCGCAGACGATACTGTTGGTGAACGTGTTCTTGTTCCCGTTGGTGTAAGTTTTTTTCTATTAAAAGAGATGAGTTTTTCGTTCATTTTGATTATTAAAAAACAAACAGGTTGAACAAAGAAAAGCTGAACAACTTAAATATGGAATTGAGTATGATGATGATTATGATTATTTACAACATTTGCGAGATCCATGTGCGCCACCAGAAGAATTTTCTGTTCATGTTAATGAAATAGAAAAACAAGACGACAACGACGAAGAAGAGGAAGAATATGACGATGATGATGATGAAAAGATCGATGAAAAACCACAAGACAAAGAAGAAAAAGTAATATATTTTCTATTAGTCGTTCGTCTTGTTGCCACGTTTAGATAGTTTTGTTTTCTTAAAAAACCAATATGTTGATGGAATTGAATTAAAAAAATTAACACATGTTAAACGTTGATTGAGATAATACTTTTTCTGATGATTTTTAGGGCTTCTCACATCTGCAAACTTCTTGATCAAAGCATGTATATTATCTAACTCCCGCCTCCACCCCATAATAGAAGCCCCGAGGGCTTCTAAACTGACAATCGTTCAAAAATTTTTAAGGGGGCTTCTATGATGAGAGGGCTACTAATGCGACTTTCGTACAGAAGTCTCAAAAAGAATCAGAAAATCAAAGAAAAATCAATGATTCGATTTAACATAAGTGATCAAATTTTTAATTTCTGTTGTCCAAAATATCAATTTAGGCTGAAGCAGATTGTTTTGATTTCTAAAATTTGTTAAAATTATGATTCTTTTAATTGTTTTTTCTGATTTTTAAGTTTATTTAACTTTTTAAGTTTTTAAAACTTAATTTATTGATGAGTTTTTTTTGAGTTTTTCTAATTTTAAATCAAGAAAATAAGAAAAGTCTGATTTCAGCTGTTTGCCCCTTGTAAGAGAGTCATTATTTCAATGATCTTGACTTTTTATTTGCGATAAGGTCAAATAATTTTACGAAAATCTGTAAAATTTTATATAGAGAGACAACACAAATTTACTACTGTATTAATAGAAGCCCAGGGCTTCTAATCCATTTTCATATCGACCTTTCTCTGGGGGACTTTTAATCTTGGGGGGGGGGGGAGGGGGGGGGGTAGATTATATTCAGTATTGAAACCTTTTTAATTGAAGAAAAATACATAAGGGGAAAATGATTTAAAATAGGGTCTGTTATCTTTGAAAATACTTTCAGTTCTATTAAATATAGCATCGTGAAGACGCGTTGAAAAATTTTGAGTTCGTTGAGGCTTTGTCAATATCATAGAGTACAGTATCCGAAGATTATTTTCACTCTACTCATCAAGATCTATGTACTCTAATTAATTTTGACAGTACTTCTTCATAAAACAAGAAAAATAGAGAAGGTTACCCTTAAAAATGATGTTGAAAGAATATTTAATTATTTTATGTTTAGACAGTAACCCGTTTCAATCTTCCATCAACTGTTTTTGAAAGTAAAACAACAAATGAAATTGGAATGTTAAATCTTGCGGCCCCAGATTCAGGTAGAAATTTGTTCTCATGAGAAAACATGAATAAAAAAGAAGTATTTCTATTTGATTTTAAGATCCAAAAATAAATTGGGATCCCGATGTTATCGCTGCTCTTGATGATGATGAATTTGATTATAATGGTGATGATAATATGCTTGATGATGATTTCATGCTGAAAGCTAACGGTATTCAACCACTTGCAGATGATGAATGTGATGAATTCGAGTAAAATGTTTTTGTCTAGAAGTATTGAAAGAAACAGATTTTCTTATAGAGATGAAATAGCAAATGAATGTTTACCAACACATATCCCACCACTCTTTATTCCGAAAACAAATAAACCGATTCCACTTGCTTTACGACGTTTTCTTGATCAAGCTGATGACGATGGTGATGATGATCAATCAACTGTATCTAATCAAGATAATGATAGGCAAACATCAAAAACAAAATATACCAATTATTCAATGACATCATCGGTTATTAGACGAAATCAAGGATTACAAAATGTTGACGAACATTTTGATAAAATTTTTGACGAATACGATGATGATAATATTGGCGCTTTAGATTCTCATCATATTAATCAACAAGGTGCTTCTATTAACGATGATCTTATTCAACAAACTATTCAACAATTTGAGCAACAACAAATGCAAACGTGAGCTTTTCTTTAAGAAAAAAAATTCGATTATTCATAGAATATTTTAACATCAACTGTTTTCTTTTTAACTGTAGATTTTTATCATCATTAATAAGAAAATCGTATATTATGTTCACTAGCTTCTGTCATACACACAAATTTTCAGTTTAACAAAAAACACTTACTAGAATTTCTATATTAAATCAGAATCGGACAACTAAAGACTTCTTAGTGTTATAATTAGATATAGTAGTGTTGTAAATAGATCAAGATTAGAAACTGATAATGATCACTTAAATTATTTTAATACTATCTAGAAACCGTTGAGTTACCTTTGAAAAGAAAGAGACTTCAATTTTCCTTGAGAAGTATCATTACAATCTCTTCAAGTATCTAAAACATTTTTCAGTTTCAAGAATACATATTTTTGTAAAATACAATCTAAAAACAGATGTTGAATAATAGAGAGAACATACTTGAATCTTATATAGATTGTAAGAAAGTATTTACTAGTATTCTTTTTCTCTATCATACACCATGATAAACAATTTAGCATTACAGCTTTGTTTCCACGTATCAAGTTATTCATATCTGAAAGAAATCTAGTGATGTTTTAATATGACTTTGAAGTAATTTTCATATCCTTCGTATATATTCACTATTCTATTATACGACTAGTTATTTTTATTATTGGTAAAGATTAACAAGACTTATTCATATAAATAACCTAATAATATTTAGTGGATGATTTCTTTATTAATAGAATCACCGTTATTTTACTTTACATTTGGAGTTCATAAGAATATCGCTGATAGCATTTTTGTCGTCATAATATACAATAATACAGTTGATATTGTTCATGATCAATGAAACATTTTATGAGCCGAATATCAACGATTCAATCGATTGTAATTTATAGATATCACTTATGTTAGATTTGTAGATCTTAATTGAGATCAGCTGAAAAAGTCTATTAGTTGAATCTTTCGATATACGTAAAACTAAATTTCACTAATTAAAGTCACTATTTGAATAAAGACATGCATTTCGAATCGAGATTCATTCGAGTTCTAGCTCATTTAGATTATGGCAACATGTTTAATTATATTACAAATCGTGATGAATATCTTGATTAAATAAAAACTCTTGAAGATTTTAGTTCGAATAATTTCATCAGTTTTCTTTAGTTAACGTATGCAGTTAGATCATATCAGTCAATAGTACACACATATGTTTAGTTTATCTTTAAAATAAATCTTAGTTTAACATAACACTGAACTAAGTTTATCCAATCCATATATAATACATTCAGTGTTGACTTTAATTTTGTTAGAAATAAATGAAAACAATACTTTTCTTTTTGTTTTTCTTAGTGATGAACAAATTGAGCGAGCAGCAATTGAAAAAACAAAAAGATTAGCTAAACGATTATGGAATGAACCTGAAAAAATCACAACAATTGATGTGGATGATGATGAAAACGATGATGAAAAATGGGATTGTGAAACAATTCTAACAACATATTCGAATAAATATAATCATCCGAAATTAATAAAACAAATTCCAACAAATCAAATTCGTTTGTCAAAAAAAACAGGTTTACCATTAACAGATAATAATAAAATAAAAGCAAAAGGAGAAATTATCGAAGAAGCACTCGATGATGATGATGATGATGATGATGATGATGATAAACAATCAAATAATTACCAATCAATCATATTCGAAAGAAAAAAAGGGGAAACAAGTGAAGAACGACGTGCAAGGAAAAATGCTATTAAAGAAATCAGAAGAGTATATTTTCATTTATTTTATTTGTATTTTCATTTTTGAAAAATTTTATTCTGTATTCTAGGATCGTCGCATCATCAAAAAGGCAACTAAAATAGCTTTCAAACAAGAAGAACAGAAACAATTACACGAGCAAGCTTTACATACAACACAGGCACATTTACAAAGTCTTCGTGTTACTTAAATTGTGTTTTGTTTTTGTTTCGTTATAAAAGAAAAAGAAAAGATTTCAACCATTTATTGTTCTTCTCATGTTGCCTTTTCTAGATAAAGGTATTTATTCAATACGCCAATAATGTCTAATTTAGAACAAGTTAAACATGCGATTGAAGTTCGTCCAACCAAGCCATTTACGGATCAAAAACCTGGCACAAGTGGCTTAAGAAAACCAACGAAAACGTTTAAAGAAAATCAATATTTTGAAAATTTTATTCAAGCTTATTTTGATGATTTAGCCGAAAGAAATAAAGATAAATCACCAACGTTAATAGTTGGAGGCGATGGAAGACATTTTGTACGTGAAGGTACAAGAATTATCATTCAAATGGCTGCTGCAAATAATGTAAGATTATTGGATTTTCTTACTCGAACATAAATTTATTTTCTGATGTTTTGCTTTTTCGAAAAGTCATTATTGGAAAATTATTCACCTTTTCAATCAAGAATATTACTTAGGTCAGTCCAAAAGTAGTTGCGGAGGTATGATAATCCTTCAAAGGAAGATTCGACATTTTTTTTCCTATACAGTCGGATAGAGAAAATAAAGTTCTATTTTTCTTCGCTATTTGATCTTATTCAGACTAATCCTATGATAATAAAATTTTTATACCCAGGTTGAGCAATCATATTGTAAGATCTGATAAGATCTTGCATCTGATTTTATATGATCTTGCACGATCATACGAAAATCATACAAAAAATCATAGTTCCTGAGATTTTAGATCAGGTTGAACAATCAGATTCTTCAAAGATCGTATTAATGTGTAAGATCTGTCAAGAATCTGATCTGGAGCTACGATTTTTTGCCAGATTCTTGTAAGATTTCGCCCGTATTCCAAGATCTTGCATGTGTTTCATAAGATTTTGTGCCAAATTTTTCGACCTGGGTAAGACTTGTTTTGGTCGAACATGTACTGGCAGTACTATAGTATATTCTGCTCCATATGCGTAATATTCTTGCCATTCTTGAGGGTGTGGGTGTGGAACAATAAATACCCACATCCACACACACACACACCCTGAAATATTCGACTAAGTCTTGAGATTTAATCTGATCTGTTTCAAACATTATTCGCATCAGTTTATCTAAATTTTGAATTGAAAGCTGGATAAATCTCGGCATCGACTTGGAATTTCATAATTCATTTAGACTAGAAATTAAATGAATCACGAGGAAAGAAATCAAAGCTAATCATCGCAATACCGCAAGCAGTGTAAGCGAGCTTCAAAATAGGTTATTATGATGTTGTTGATTTTATATTGTTTTCGACTAAACATTATTTTTCTAAAATATCCCACGTAACATTATCTAAAACCTTGCAAGAAAGCATTTATCAAGAACAAACGAGTTCAAAACATTTTCGATATCTACTACGATTCTAGTTAGATATTTATTGATAATTTGTCTTGTAGGCTCTCATCGAAATATCTCAAAACTAATTTTAAGTGAAACTCTTAAAGTTGATTTTAAGAGAGTATCTAATAGATTTTTGCTAATCAGATTATAGCTACGAATAACAACGTGTGACATTCTTCTATTTTTGTCGTTTATCGAAAAATATACATAAGCATGTTCTATTTTACGTTAGGAAATTTCGCTAAAGAAAACTTTGAAACTATTCCACATGGAAGCACAGAAAATAGAAAGAGAAGATTTTTCTAGTTATTTCTCTAATAAAAACAAAAGCATTTCTATTTAGATTAAAAAATTAATAATTGCACGTGATGCCATAATGTCAACACCATCTGTTTCATGTGTTATCCGAAAGTATGGCACCGATGGTGGAATTGTTCTTACCGCAAGTCATAATCCAGGTGGTATCAATAATGATTATGGCGTCAAATTTAACATTGCTAATGGAGGTTTGCTCTTTATTCTTGACTAAATATTCACCATAATAAAAAATAAAAAATATTTACCAATCTCTCTTTAAGGTCCGGCTCCGGAAGCAGTAACGAACAGTGTTTATGATAAAACTCGTCAATTGACAAATATTCGTCTTTGTCCAACATTGATAAACATTGATTTATTAACACTTGGCAAACATTCATATGAAATTGAAGGTCGTTCAATACCATTCGAAATTGAGATCATTGATTCAGTTGATGACTACGTACAATTAATGAAATCAATATTTGACTTTGATAAAATTCGAAATCTTCTCAATGGAGACAAAGGAAAATTTCCAATTATGATTAATGCATTATCAGGTGTTATGGGTCCATATGTTTTACGAATATTTCACGAAGAATTAAATGCAAAAGAAGTGGTTACTGTTAAAAATTGCGAGAATTTAGAAGATTTCGGTGGACATCATCCGGATCCTAATTTAACTTATGCTCATGAGCTAGTTGAAGACATGCAAAATGGAAATTATGAATTTGGAGCTGCATTTGATGGAGATGGAGTGAGTTTCTTTTTATTATTTATTATTTCTTTCTAACAGTTAGAATATTTGTCTTTTCTTTTTTCTTTTCTATAAAATAGGATCGGAACATGATTTTAGGCAAAGGTGGATTTTTTGTTACACCATGTGATTCGTTGGCTGTTTTAGCTGCTAATCTTGATGTTATTCCCTATTTTCAAAAACATGGTGTTTTTGGTTATGCTAGAAGTATGCCAACATCTGGTGCAGTTGATCGGTTTGTATAAGAATTTTGTTCTTTTTAGTCGAGTAATCTGTTGTTGATATCAAAAGTTACATCCGAATAGATTAAAATATTCTCAAATCAGACTTACAATAACTTCTCGTTTTATCTTTTTTTTATGAGAACTAAATCTAATTATGAGATCAGTTACGTGTTTGTTGATCATCTTTAATTTCAATTTAACAACTAAAGAAAACTCCGACATGTACTCAAGATTTAGAATTATGTTCATGTGATTCCAACAGGAATGAGATATTGTCAAAGACGAAGATAATTCTTTGAAAAATGGCGTTCATTCTAACTGATGAAGATGATCACATTCACAGATATTGAATTAGTTATTTATATCTGTATTTGTATTAGCTGCACAATATTTCCTAAGACACAAATAATCGTATATTTTATTTTTTCTTTCAATAATTTATTCATTTGTTTTTTTTTTCGAAATTACAATAACTAATATTCATGTCAGAATTATACAGAAATTAATTGAACTTTAACAATTGGACACGAGAAAAAGTTAGCAATTCGTGAGCATTCACGAAGCGAAAGAGAATACTCGAAAAGCTAGTTTAGTTTAGGCTACAGTTTAGACTTTGACATATGCTTGAGCTCTAATGATCGTAGTACAATCTAGATAGTAATCGTTTTATATCTCAATGTTGAAGAAATAAATTTGTTGATCTATCGATATATCCGATAATCGTTGACACCATAAATATACAGCGTTAATAAAATTAGACCAAACGAGTTGCAAAAAATCTGAAATTGTGATGATGACCAAATACAACACAATATTTTGAATTGTATAGATGATGCTTCGAATGTTATAATACGAATGTCATAGAAATATTGATAAGATTTTGAAAATCTCATATTTTTATTGTTTACTTTTTCTTTCTACTGATTAATATTATGGAAAAAAATGTTAAATAGTAATTGCCAACTTTTTTGGGGATTCAATCAATTTCTTTTTCATTGAAAATTGATTTTTTTTTATTTAAAATCAGTGTGGCTGAAAAATCTCAAAAATTGATCTATGAAGTACCAACTGGTTGGAAATTTTTTGGAAATTTAATGGACTCGAAATTAATTTCAATTTGTGGCGAAGAATCATTTGGTACAGGATCGGATCATATTCGGTATATATTTCTATTCAATTTACGAGCGAAACTAAATATATTTTTTCTGCTTCTCTAGAGAAAAAGATGGAATGTGGGCTGTACTTTCATGGTTATCAGTTTTAGCTAATATTGATCGATCTGTTGAAAAAATTCTACAAACACATTGGCATACGTATGGGCGTAATTTCTTTACACGGTATTTTTTATTTCTTCGTTTTTTTAATTTTCTATAGTTAAGTTTTTGTATTATGAAACATTTTAGTTATGATTATGAAGAAATCAATGGTGCTGGTCCATTTTCTATGATGAAACGTCTTGAAGACATGTGTACGTCAAAGGAATTAATGAATAAAACATTTAATACAAATTATGGAAATAAACAATATACTGTTAAAATCATGGATGATTTTAGTTATACAGATCCAGTTGATGGAAGCTATACTGAAAAACAAGGAATTCGGATTATATTCACTGATGGCTCACGCTTAGTTTTTCGTCTTAGTGGAACAGGTGCACGTGGTGCTACTGTTCGTCTTTACGTTGATTCATATGAAAACGATCCTGTAACTTACACTAAAGATGCACAGGTAGATTTTATTTTCCATATAATTTTTCAGTTCAATAAGTAAACTGTTTTATAGGAAATGCTTAAACCATTGATTTCATTAGCACTTGAAATCGCTCAATTGAAAGATTTCACCGGACGAGACAAACCAACCGTAATTACCTAATTATTTCATCGATTCTATTGATCTTTGGATGTCATAGCCTGGCGCTTTCAAACAATAGATTTTAAATTATATTTCTAGTTCAATCCTGCTTTATTTTCGTAGATAGCTTTTTATTAAGTTGATCCCTGCGTCTTGTTGAATAAGTATTGTCTATTCATCCATTTTTATTTGTCAATAATAGCTATAGACTTAGTTTCAGAATGATAAACTAGATTTCAAATATGATGATCAACAAAGAAGTATCCAATTTAAAACTTTCAGCTCTTTTTATCAATAAAACAAGATAATAATCAGTCGAAGATTAACATGGCTTAAGTTGTTTTTGAAGACAATATAAGATGAAACATCAATGTTAAATTAGACTTAAGGTACAACTAAAAATATTATTTTACTGGTCAAACAAAAATTGTTGATATAATAAATCATAATTTATAGATTTTAAAACACGACTTTGAAAGAGTTCTAATTTCTAATATAGTTTCATGTTTTAATAGCTAAGCGATTATCTGATTACTTTATTATAGATAAAAAACACAGAACATGTTTTTCTTCTACAATTCGAATACATAGAAGTAATTATTTTAGAAAAAATTTTAAGTAGCTTTTGTTCAAATAATAATGTATATTAAAGTACATCGTTGAGTTTATAAATTGAAAACATGTCAATCAACTATTTCATGAAAATATTTTTGATTCAATTCTGTTATGACGATTCATTCAACGATGAATGGTTAATATCAAGTTGTTTCTCACGAATAGCCCGTAGCACTCGATGGCAATCCAATACCTCGAACTACTTATCGTTCTTTATTATAGACATTATTTATGTTTATGTTGACATTGAGTTTCGCCGAGATCATCTTAACTATTGAAATCATTCGTAATATTACTAGCATCTTATGATATACTCAAGAACAGACATATAGTTGGCTTTTTTGCCATCGAGAAAATCATAAATATAGTAATGGTACTCGATCATATTGAAATAATCTAAATCGAGTATTTTTCTATGATTGTCACTCTATAGCACCATTTCAAAATCTCATATACAAAAGGGATTCTACGTCTGATTATATTAACAAATTTTTACTAAAACTTTTCGCTTTATTGATGCTTCATGAATAATAACTCAACAACAAGTAAGCAGTACAATTTTGGGTTAACGTGTTCGAATACTTAACAAATGTGATCGAATTTATTTCTGTCAGATTAAACTGAGTTCTTATGTGTGGGGGAAAAAAGTAATTGCTAACTAATTTTCATTATTTGAATGTAATGTTGATTTAATTATTGCGAGTCGATTTTGATCTCGAAATTTATTTAATTGAAAAATTAGTAAGATCGATTGCAGTATAAATATAAATTTCTTTCAAAGGAATTTTAAATTATTAATTTACACATATACATGAAATTCGAAAAGCATTATTTCACTCTCATTTGTAAAAATAATATTGAAAAGAAATAGTTTAGCGTATCGATGATTGATATTTGTTGAAAGCAACAAATGAATAACCAAGATTTGTCAAAAGAATCTTTCAACATTTTAATATTGTCTTTCAAAACATAAAGAAACTTTGATAAACATGAATATTTATAATTTTACGTGTTTTTTTCTTCTATTTTTTTGTCGAGTATCACAAATAAAAAATTGCAAAAACTATGAATACAAATTCAAGCATACAATTCTATTCATATTTTTCTAAAAGCGTCAATTCATGATCATAATCATTTTAGTATTGTCGACAATAACTAGAATAGAATCATAGAATGTAGCGTATTATCAGTGCATTTGAGTATTCTGTTCACTGACATATCCACTCATATCGACAAAGTCTACTTGTTCTCAGATAATAGGACTATATTGATCAGATGAGACTATTATTCTCATTTAACTCCTTTTCTATCAATCAATTAGCAATTGAGATAAGTGCATTATCTACCACAAATGCACTAGCAATTATTGACATTAATTCTCTATTATTCATTTTGCACTAATGCATTTAGTGGTCACAAGACAGTTTTTCCTATTCTATGTTTATTCTTTGGACTAGTTTTATCTGAATGCAACAATAAATCAGTAAATCTTTAAAATCTAAATAAATATACCAGCAGTGTTCTATTAATTTTTATTATATTTCTTCTGATTTTGTTCGATAGTATTTGAATATTAAGTTTCTCCGATTGAGCCGTCGTATCTCTTTTGCGCACGTAAAATGTTAGATGATTCTATTTCTGTCACAATCGAATAAAGAAAAACTTAATTTGATTAAGTAGAACTATTGATTAGCCTATTGTGTAGTGTTTTTTTTGCGTGAACAATAAACATAAATTAAAATAATTCCTCTAAACCAATAAATTTCGAAACGAATGGTTTTGATCAAAGTCATTGCTTCACAATCGATACAGGTTTTTTTCTGCAAATAAAAAGAGATTAACGATTTATTTGTAATGTAACACAATAGCCAATGAAAATTTGTATTTATTTTTGAATTTGAACATTTTGTCATCGGTTCTTCAATTATTGAACTATCGTGTTACGTCAAACAAAATTTTTCATGATTTATTCATTTTGTTTTGTAGCCATTAAAAATACAAAACTCGCGTTCAGTTTCATATAAAATTAAAAATTAAAAATTAATAATTTCGATTCATTCATTTTCTTAAGCAATTGAAATTTGATGCAGTATGCATCTTTATTTGCATTATTACAAAGTAGAATAACACGCATTATATTTTATTAACCTTAGCAAACATCGAAAAAAGATAAAAATCAACAAAATCAATCGATGATATTGATGAAAAATGGAAATATCCACTGATCGTTTTATTGTACCAATAACTATAAGAAACTTAAAAAATCGAATAAAATAGCAATGAGACTGTTTTTCGTTTTAGTTTGAGTCAAATTCTATGATTAGATATTAGATTTACGGATCGCTCTTTTTAGTTGATCATTTAGAAAAATATATGATGAGAAATCAGGAATCTTTCTCTATTTATATTCACATAACAAAATGATAGCGTTTTCCATTTATTTTCCATTACTATTTCGTAGTTATCATCTTTTCTATTATTTGAAACATACTCTTGCAATCTTTTATTTCACATGATTGATATTTATGTAATGATTTATATTTTTCTACAAAATAATTTACAAATTTCCTTCTTTTTTTATTAGTATTCTATGATTTCATAGCTAAGATTACTGATGAATAGTTATGGACATTGAAAATATACGATTAACCGTTTATATTGATGACATCGTTCTTCTGAAAGTTCATATTTTCATTTGTATAGATTTTCATATGTCTAGATCATTCATCGAGTCTAATTCACAGATTCAGAACGTAGCTCTGGTCTATCCATTGATTTTGACAGGTAAAAGTGAATGAAAAGTATTACATAAAATAAATAACTATGTTCAATGATTTGAATATAAAAGTTTACTTTTCCTGTCATTTCCTCTGCAAGTTTTATCTCTATTGTTTGTCATTGAATAAAATATTTTTATGAAAAGCAAACGAACAAATGTTACAGAAAACATGTGCACATCACATAATAAATATGGGTTTGCAACAATTGAAATTTGTTTATGTATGATCTTTTATCTTAATTTCCTTTCTAATATTAAACATCATTGTGATTTTAGTCGTATAGGCATATCCAGTGAACTTCATGCACTAGTTCATTGCTTTTGATTACTTTGAATATGAGAAAAACAACTATATGAATATCTATTCATCGACTATTCAATAAATTATCGTTGTCTGAACTTAGAATAATACTAAACGCAAGTTCTTTTTTTGTAAATTTCTAATTAATTAATCATATTTTTATTAATAGATAAAACCTTGTGTGAAAATAAAAAACCTTTTTCTCGTACCAATAAAAGAATATGAAAATTAAATTAGGTTTTTTTTCATAACTTATTTCTACAGACAGCTAAATGTCATACGGTCGAAGTGAAGTTGATGTTGATGAAAGAATAATAATAGCGGGCAAGTAAAAAGACTAGAAAGTTATTGCTGCAATAGAATAATGATTGATACTTATTTTAGTCGTTTGTCATTGTCCTGTTTAATTGCAATAGACTGATACGTATGTGTTTGTATCTAAGCGTTGGCGTTTATCATTTCTACTGTTAATTGTTTCTCCCGTTCGATAGAAACCTTGTCGGCTGTTTCTATCTCTGTTTATTCCCATCTAATCAAAAGAACTATTCATTCATCTATTCACTTATTGATCTAGTTGTAGTACGCAGTCTTTTTTATTTGCTAGTAATAAAGAAAAGTCATTGGTCTGTAGTTGTTTTTAAGCGTGTCTTTTTTTCTTGTACTTTTTAAGATATGACCTTGAATCGTTACTATTCTTATGTTTCAACAAGTATTTCCCACGATAGTTTAAGTTGATAAATGATAGGTGGTGTTTTTTCTTCATATTTCGAATCGTAGAAGCAATTGACACATATTCAAATGACTTATATTTGTCTTGTTTTCTCTATAGAGTTTTGTGATGCATATAACATATCTATGTGATGTGATATCGTGATACCTCGAAAACAACTTTTGAAACTTGACGTATTTATAAGAATTACTTTTTCTTACGATTTTTTTTTCTGCAAAGAAAGTACTATCGTTGTAAGAAAAGCTAATGTTTTCTATTTATATCAGTGGCTTTCAAGTAAAATATATATATATATATATATAAGAAAAAAGAAAATATAATTCCTGTCTTCTGGCCCACCCATCATCGTTTTATGATAGTTCTTATTTGATCGTAAACTATGTTAATTAAACTAAGAAAATAACAGGAGATAAGAAAAAAATAAGATGACGAAAACGCCGACGACAACGACAAAGGAGAAGAAAATAAACAGTTAATGATGCTTATTATCTAGTTAATTCAATCTTGGTTTTATTTTTGCTTTTCAATTTATTCGATATCTGCTTTGCTCCACCACATCTATGATTATGATTAAATTTGCTCCTAGTTATTACAATCTGCCTGTAGATAGTCTGTTATTAGTTTTAGGGCATTGAGATTGACGAACACAAGTGTCAATTTATCTATAATCCATATGTGCTATTAACAGTTGTCATCTTACAGATGTAGACAAAGTATATATCAAACATGCTGTTTTCTTCTTCAATGAATATCTATCTACTTTAATGTGTTGAGCACGTTTTTTCATTATCTAATAAACTATTAGAACCACATTGAATGATAGATGTCTGAGAAAATACAAGTAACTACCATTAACGTTAGATATTTTGTTTCCAATATTAATCAATGAAAAGGATATTTTCTTTATTTTTCAGGGACTATGAATATCACGTTTAAATCGTTTACATCTTCTTATAATATTTTTTGTATCGTTATTCTCACAAATATTTATACACAGATGACGACGATTAATTAAATTATGTTGTATTATTATACACACAATGATTCTTTTTTTTTCTTTTTTCAGTCGACCCCACTTTTCTTATTAGTAAAATTTGCATATAGATATTATAGACTTTCTGTTGTAAAATAATCTTGCGTCTGAGTTTTCGTTTGTATATTAATCGAAATAGACACGGCATTAGACGTTGCTGTAAGAAACAGATAATTCGAGTGAATAAATCATCATATCAATTATCACTTAAAAAAGGAAATGGCAGCGCCAGAAAGTTTATAAATAAACGTGTAATTGTATAAATCGTTCTCCTGCTGCAATATCTTTTTTTATGATAAAGTTTTGATCTTTTTGCGTCGAAGAAAAAAAAGAAAAGAAAAAAACAGAAACTCAGGAAATAATAGAAAAAAAATTTTGCATTTGCATTCAAGGTTATTCTATTGTATTGCTTGCATAATTATGTAGTATTTTCCACAAAAAAAATGCTGTGCGTAACCACATACACGTCACTTGTCAAAACCATTCAATCATATTATACGAGCCATAGCATGTATAAATGTTTGTCTCTGTACTTGAAACGAACCAAAACAAAATGACTTCTGCATTTTTTAACATCAATTAATTGTTATTAGATTTCTTTTTTGTCTCTTTATTTTCAAATAATTATAAAATGATTGAGTTTGAGGTAAATATGCATATAGAAGATATTTGTTTGTCATGTTTAATTTACTAGAGTAACTATTGAATATCCTACATTCTATGAGTCATAAAATCATTATAAATAAGACGATTTCGTTTAGTTTTTAAATTTTATAGTTTCATAAATGTCCACTTTATTATATTAATATGACACTCGTTGAAAATACTTAATGAATCGACGAATTCTATTTTTACAAAGGTAAATGTCGTAGATTTATTGTGTTCGTTTGAAGAAATGTGATTGTACCATTAAGAATTACGCAGCTGTTAAAATATAAAATTTTATGAGTCTATCAATTAGCAATCGTGTTGGCGTTTCTTTGTTTAGTTTTGTTCTTCTTCAGGAGTGATATTCTTTATGAGAACGATGGAATTTTCGAAAAAGATATTTTTTTATTTGATATAATCAAACGAGAGTTGAGCAACTCTTATTTATTTATTTAATAATAATCGACGTTAATAGAAGAGAAGAAAAAAATGTGAAAATATCGTCTTAAGTGTCCTTATTCGTTTTCTTTCTTTATATGTAACGATTATTGAAGGGTTTGTTTGTTAATCTTCAAGATCCATCAATCTTATTCAACTGCCTTTCTTTTCTTCTCTTCTCTTAGTTGATTACATCATGAATACTTCTGATCAGCACTCATCCCAATAAATTGAACTTGAGAATGCAGAATCACTAGCTCAAAAATAGATCTATACGCCATATTTAGATATACGTAAACATATAAGATAGAACTGATGAGCCGTTATCTAATTGTTTTTTTGTTATCGGCTACACTACATATATATATAAATCAGAACGCACAAAAAACACTATTCGTAGAAAATATTTAAAAACAGAGGAGCAAAAGAAAGATAAATTTGCTGCTTGATCAAGTCTCAAAAGCTATAGAAAATGTATGTGACTGATCGAGGATGAACAGAATTCAGATCCGTTTCCTTCGTTCGTCTCTTTTTGTATCGAATCCAATCATCTCACCTTCTTAGTTCCATAATAACACAATAATAGTATGTTGGATCGAATTTCATCATCTTACTCGGTTGTTGTTACTATTACTGTTAGTAGTATTCTCCTACACAAAATATGAAGAAAATAGAATCACTATCATTTAGTGCATTTCTGCTCAATCCCAACATCTTAGTGTTTCGTTTTCGTTTTAATATTTGTTTAAGTCATTTTCTTCTATTGATTATTATTTTGTCTATTTTTCTGCTTCTCGATCAGTAATGTATTTGGATGAGTAACTTAAAAGTAGAGAGAAGCAAGAAAAACAAATATCAACCAAATGATTAAAGGCACAAATATATCTGCATGTGACAGGTTATTGATACAAATGGTCTGATTATTCTTTTTCGCTAATATTTATAGTTTATCGAAATCATCTAATTCATTAGACAAGTAGCAATGTATATAAGAGCAGCAGCAGACTCCTCATTTTTTTTTCTTTTCTCTATCGTTTGATATTGATAAATACTCATATCAAGTAGAGTAACTAAATAGAAAGTCGTCCTTGAATTCATTTCAGATTACTGCTTCAAGTACTTCGTTTATAATACAGGTATTTTCAAAATTCATTTTTTCTTAGCTTTATTGATTAATCGTACTTGTATCAGTAGATATATAACTTATATAGAAATGAATATGAATTGAATAGAATATGAGTTGGCTGTTGATTGAATTAGTAGCACATCAAAACTATCTATACTCAATGACAGGCCATCAGAGAAAAAAAGTAATTGTTTGGGGTCGTCTGTCGATGGATCGTTAGATTTGTGACACTCACGAACGTAGTGCAATCTTTCGTAAACACGAAGATCTAAGCGAAGAAATAACATAGATGAGAAAATGATACATGACAATAATAATAAAAGAAAACAAGAAAAGAAAAGAATAAAGAGAAAAATTTGAATACTCTGATTTATATTATCAAACTACTCTGATGAGTTTTATGCTCTTTATCATTACTAAAGAAAAGAAATGAGAAGAAAAACAAAGATAACTTGTGAAAAAAGGAAGTTTTCCAAATAGAAGAAAATAAAAGCATGATTATATTCGAAACTAGAAGAAAAAGAAAGGATAAGGAAAACTTGCTTCAACATGTAAGTATTGTGTAGATCAAGAAAAATGAGCAGATTCCTATGCGAGTGTTTTCCGTTTTAATTATCATAGATAATTTCTATCTAAACACATTAACATTTAGATGATTTCTGTTATATTTATACATCGGTGATCTTTATTCATAAATTTTACAAGCAAATCTATCTATCTATTTATACATACATATTTCAATGTTTGGTTCTTTGGATTTGTTGCCTACGGGCTTCAATCTAACATTAGATGAAGAAGATGAACTCGTTAAAAGTGTTGTCAACTTTTTGGGACATCGTAGACGAGATAAATTTGCTTTTCCATTACTCATAACACTGTATTCATTTATATTTGCTACTGGATTAACTGGAAATCTTTGTATGTTACAATTTCTTATTTTTAACAACAAAAGCAAAAAACGTTATTCTTTGTCTTTTCAAGGTACTTGTTTTATAATCTGGAAAAGTCGTGACATGCATACTCCAACAAATTTTTATTTGTTTTCACTTGCTGTTTCTGATCTTTTATTGATTAGTCTTGGTAGGTGTAAAAACAAAACTTATGGTCAAAGGATAAGTAGAACAGTTTTCAAAGTTCATAGAGTAAATATTGCTTTTATTGTTACCTGTCATTAGAGACCTGCGGAGTCAATTTTTTTTATTCCGAAACCCGACTCCGACTCCGAAAAAATTTTCAATCACGACTCCTACTCCGAAAATTTTCGTTTCGCTGCCTCCGACTCCAACCCCGACTCCGAAAATTTTTATTTTCTGACCCCGAGTCTGACTCCGGAAAACTCCGAAAAACTCCGAGATTTTATTATTGAAACGGGCAATCTCTGATACAATAGTCGAAAGATTATTTTCAACTTCAAAGAATACTACATCGGAAAAAAGAATCAACTTAGGTTCCGAAAAAATCAATCAAAAGTTATTTTAACAAAAAATTTAACTTTGTTGAAAGAGCTCTTCTGTAAGAATGGAAGAACAAGAACCATTTCAATGTCATCAACAGCCACAGCCTCATCTGCAGATTCAATATCAATATCTCTTATGTCCAAGCAATCAAAATTTGATGATGAAGACAATTAAAGTAGTTTGGATGATGCTGAAATATTTCTTGATTCATGATATGTTTTTATTAAGTTGATCTCTCGAATTTTATAGCTGCAAGATGATTCGTTTCTTCTTTTTTGTTCTGAAATTCATTTTCAATATATGAAATAAGTGATGCCTTTCTTTTTTTGCCTCTTATAATATGAAAAATAAAGATATTGTTGTATAAAATAGCGAAATTTCATCAGACATAATTATAATTCTGACTCCAATTTACTCCGAGAAGTTTTCCAAAAAAATTGACTCCGACTCCGACTCCGAAAATTTTCTTTTTCTTCACTCCGGCTCCGACTCCGACTCCGATCCCGTCGGAGTCGGAGTTGGAATCGGGTTTCGGAGTTCCCCGCAGGTCTCTACCTACCATTGAGTATGAACAATAATAGATAGAGCACAAATAGAAGAGAACATTCTATTTCTTTGTTCACATCAGAAATATTTTTATTTTAATGGATGAATTTTTTTCGACTCAACAAAGATGCCTCATCAAAGACGATGGAGTTTAGAATACTCCATTGAATAGATACTCGACTACAAATAGAACACAACTATTTTTCATAACTAAAACACCTAAGTATTAAATCAATCACATGTTTTCTTTTTATGTTTAATCAATTGATTTTTATAGAAGTTTTTCAATAACATTTTTTTGCCAAATCTGTATGAGACGCTTCGTCAACTACTTAAAATTCATTTTTAAATATTCAGCTAAAAAGCTTGTTTTTCTGTGGAATACTCGCTCAAATATCTGCAATCTAATGGGATCTGAACAATTTTCCAGATACTTTAATAGGAATATTTTTTGTGCATAAGTATCATGAACCCTATGCGTTTAGTTGTATTGTCAATCTTTCAAACATGGATTTATAAAGAAAAGTTGTTAATTCTAGTCAAATAACTTATTGAAAACATTAACACTTCATATCATATTTGGAAAATATTTTAATGTTTCCCGTAAAGCTAAGACAACTCATAAAAGTGTGTGCAATTGAGTACTTTTTAAAGAGCAACTTCATTAATCGAATTGGGAAGGAAATTAAATACGCTACAGGCTTAACAAAAATTTAAGTATATACTTTATTTTGTAATTATAGGTCTTTCGGTAGAAATGTATAATATCTACGAATCATGGCCATGGTAAATAATTCTTTTTTGAAAGAAAAAATAAAATAATCATTTTTTGTTAATTAAGGATTTTTGGCGAAGCATTTTGTGTATTTCGCACTGTCGTACTTGAAATCGTCACATCAGCATCGATACTAACTGTCCTATGTTTTACAGTTGAACGTTATTTAGCGATTTGTTTTCCAATAATTTCTCAAAAAGTACTCGGCGGTTTAAGTCGGGCATTAAAAATGATTATGATTGTTTGGTTTCTATCATTTCTACTTGCTGTTCCTTATACATTTACTGCTGGTGTTTTTGTTAGTGTAACAAATGAAATTCATAATCAAACCGTTCAAATTCTTGACAGTCGTATCTGTGCTATACGCCCAGATTATTGGGAACCTATGTTATATTATATGGCAGTGACAACATTTCTTGTTTTTGTTATTCCGATATTTGCTATAACTGTGCTTTATATATTAATGGGTATAACGTTATACAAAGCAAGTCGTCGTCCAACAAGTGATAATCGTTTTAAAACAAGTGGGACAAAACCGGAACAAATATTATTACATCAAAATGGTGAACATCATGTGTGGTCAAGACAAAGCACTGTAAGAACGATTAGATCTAGACCGACAAGAAATCCTCGAAGAGCAGTACTCAAAATGCTTGGTAAGTAATGGATGAATAAACGCAAAACATCAAGTTTATAATTATTTATATGCGTTTATATATATTTTTTCTTTTTTCACGAATAGTGGCTGTTGTTATTGCATTCTTTATCTGCTGGGCACCATTTCATACGCAACGTATAACTGCGTTTGTTACACGTTTACTGGATAAAGCAAATAAAAGTACAATATCAGATGCAGCAACTAAATTTCAAGAAATTCTTTTCTTCACCTCAGGTACAAATTCGCCCGGTTTTAAGTTTGATTAATATCACGACTGAATATATACTAAAAAACAAATTATATGAATATAGTCTGCCGCTAGAAAATCCTACTGAGAAAAAAAGGAAATAGTAATGAAGATTATCTATTTATATCCTTAACAATTATAACAGCAAAGCTCATATAAAAACGGAGGTAATTATTTCGACTTTTATTTATGCTTAACATTTCTATAGGAATGACTGTCATTTACCACAAATTGAAATCCCCAGATACATCTCTACATCATATCCACACTTGTGGAAAATAAAATAAATATGACCCATTCTGGTGACTAAATAGGGATTTTGATTTAGGGATTTTTCAATTTAGGGATTTTTTTCAAATACGACATGGCTTATGAATCATAATTCAGCACCATCTTCTGCCGAAAATCTTTTACCGTTGAAACTAAATACTTTGGCGCTAATCATAGTATAGATAAGTACGTTCTGATTACCAGAATCGTCTTGTATTCCTTTTCTATATTTACTCACATATACGTCTGAAATTCATTTTTCTGTTTCTGTTTCTACTATAGCTTATATGTTGAGGGAAGACACTACATATTGTCTATGTGTGGCATAGAAAAAAAATGTATTCTATAGAAAAAATTCGTTTCTGTTGGAATGAAAGTTTTTTTTAGTCTACAGAACGACTATGACAAGTGCATGTATTTAGTCCATTCTGTGAACCAGAAAATCATTTGTTGTGATAAATTTGTTTCAAAGTCGTCGAAGAAGAACATTCTTTTCTAGAAAATAGTCGACAACACTAGAACAGCATAGACGGATGGCTGCGTGTTGGGTATGAATACTAGAAAAATAAACCTTTTAGTTTAGTCATAACTATTTCTAACATAATCAACGTACAGTTCGGCACATTAATTATATGTTTCTTCTTATGTAAGTATTTGCCCTTGTAAATACTATTTCTGAATTGACTTTCTGATATTAATTTCAGCTGATAGTTGATTTTTAAGGGTCATATAAGAGTATCACGTCTTTCTAGTAATGATTGTACCTTGATAAATTCAAGTATATGTACACGGTATTTTCTGAAAACAAACTATGCTAGATCACCGTATACACTATGAAATAGTCGAACCCCAATTAATGGGATATATTCGTACACTCTTGTTTGAGTTTTTTCTTTTGATCCATTGGGAGAGCGTCTACCAAAAATTTGCTTTTGATTCTGGTTATTACAACCATTTCGAAAAGTCATTCTGTTTATCAGCAACTCTGAGAGCTGATTCTGGTTACCAGAATCAGTATTATACTAGTCTACTAGTCCAATAAATACTAGTCACCAGTAATACTGGTGACCAGTACCCAGTATACTGGTACTGATACATCACTAACTGAGACCCTACTCGGCTGTGACTTGAACAGCATATAGCGTATAAAAAAGTCCCTATTTGGTCACTATAATGGGTCATATTTGTTTTATTTTCCACAAGTGTGGATATGATGTAGAGATGTATCTGGGGATTTCAATTTGTGGCACATGATAACCAACCAAAATTTTAAATGTTTTTTCTTGTTTTCAATCTAAATGAATACTTTTCCTTTACTCTTAACATAATATGAGAAATTTTGTTTTTCAAACAAATTTTTTGTAACGAAATCTTAATCTATTTTTCGACCAGGGATTTTCTATTACTTATCGGCTACGGTTAATCCTGTTCTATATAACATTATGTCAAAACGCTATCGAAATGGCTTTAAACGAACACTTTGTCGTTGGACGGTTTCTACTCCGTCAACATCCTATAGAAATGCTCGCTCCAATGTTTATAATAATAAAAATAATAGTAGTCCACTATCTCCAACATTAGCTTGTACTACAAATAACATTCGTCATCAACGATTGACATATCCGACCAATGGTACAAAGTCAGGACAAATAAATAAATCATTTTTTCGTAGTCGAGATAATGTTTTCATGTTTTCTATGGCGAAATATAAATTCGTTATCGGTTCACGTACAAATGATGGTCATACAAGTGTTCCTAGCTATCCTCATCGTCGAACCTCATTACATTATCGTTTTTCTCTTATTGAACAACAAGAACGCGAGCAACAACAACAACAACAACAACAACAACAACAATTACAAATACAATTACAACAAAGAAAAGTATCTACAAATGTTAAACAACAACAAAAAAGACAACCGGTTAAATTTATATTTACGTCTGCTTTATCGCCAACAACACCACCGAATTTATCAGTTAGTGAATCAAAAACGTTGACACCAACGCCTAACGGAATTCATAGCAAGCAGTAGTTGAGTGATAGGAACGAACAAATTGTTGTCATTATTTTTTTTTAAATAATTTATGTAAATAAGATTAAAGATATAAAGATTATTTATTTTGACAAGATAGGTTGGATGACTTTGCTATCTGCAACATAAAAAAAACTACTCATGTTACTTACACTATTCATGTCAAAACTTTTCAACACAAGAAAGAAGAACAATCAGTTTTAGCTTATTAAACTTTTCACAATCACACGAGATCAAGTTAACATTTTTTATATAGAAGGTGAAAATATTTAGTAGAATAGATATGAACTGCTACTTGTCTATAGAGCAGATTTCGGTATTTTGCTCAGAGAAGCTATTCTTGTATAATTTATTCTAACATTGATTAATTCATATTCTAATTTGCTCAAGGATGGCACATTTACTTAAATAAAAAGAAGTTTCTTCAATCAAAATATGACCATTGAAAATCTTGCAAGACGATGCATGATTGGATACAAGAAAAAAGTTCTATTACTTTACTTGGAAAAAAAGAAAAAGGGTCGAATTTTATTACTAAAAAGGAAATGATGAAAAAAAGTTTTATTGTCTTGTCCTGTAGCTACATTCACATCCATGAACATCTCGAGCAAAACCCAGTGCTATCTTAAAAATTACTGCTTGCGCTAAAATCTAGATAGAGAAAATAAAACATTTAAAATAGATTGATCTACAAAGGATGACGATAACCAAGCTCAGCAATTATAATCAAAATGACATATAAAGCTCGTTTTCGAATGATGAAAAATTTGTTGGTCTAGATAGGATGTATACATTTCAAGAAGATCCGATGAAGATAATCTATAGAGAAGAGACAGAGGGAATGCGACGTATGTGCACCTGTATATGACACATTGAAATAAAGGAAAAATAAATGAGGGAACGTCGGATTCGCATCCGATTGTTACGTGTACTGCAAAAACTGAGTCAATTTATATATGTTTTCAATAATTCTGAGGAAAAAATCCCTGTATCCCCCCTCCCCTCAGGGATGGTCTAGCCAATAATGGCAATTTTTTCGATAGCTCAGCCATTTCTTGGCGGATCCTTCTCATCTTAGAACTCGACTGAGATATTGATGAGATCATTCTGTGTACAAAATTTCAAGACAATGAGATGAGGCTTTCAAAGGTTATCGTGTTAACAGCCGGACTACCGGACACACTGGCCGAATCTAGAGTGTACTCACTTTTTGAATACACAAAAACAGAAAATGCGACGTGTAAAACACAATTTTTATTTTCGAAAAAAGCGATGACGTTGCCAGAACGAGAAGTATACGGAGAATGATACAGCATTTAGTATTTAGATACGATTGAAATATATATCATGAATAGCAACTAAAGATTCTAACAGAACAATGCGAGATTATGCAGGTACATCTTATCATCGAAGTAAAAAATGTGGTCTTGACTAATTCAATGCGTTTATCTCTACAGGAACGAATGCCGCTCAATTTTGTTCGATTTTCTTCTATTAGATTCTAATCTGTAAGAGAAACTAGCTGAATCTATAAATTGAAACCACATGAAAAATATAATATTATTAAAAGAAAAAAATGTTTTAGCCTACTCCTAATTACATTTTACAAATACAATTGATCTAAAAACAACCGACAAAAATGTACTTGTTGAGTCATATGTGAATTGTATTCGTATTATAATTTATTTTGTAGAGACTATTTTGCAAAACTAGTAAATAAATAGTTTGTTCAATATAGAGACCTATTATTAATATCAACTTCATCGAGCCTTTTTTATCGTAAGAAAAAACTTCGTTTGATATATCCTAGCAACCTTAAGAAGGTTATTGACCTTCTCTTTTATCCTTCTATTACAATCGATAATAATTTATGAAACTTTTGTCATAGTTTACGCCATAAAAAGACACAGTTAATCAATTCAACCATTTCTATTTTTATCACATGAATAAATGTTAGCAACTGATAAACTGTTTTCAGGTTTATCTTTTGTTGATTTTAAGGATTCATACAAGAAGATAAATATATTTAAATAATACGTTATCCGATTGTTCTTTTTTCTGGCTTTATTACCATATTAGTCAATTTTCAGCAAATTGAAAGATGTCATGAGAAACTTTCCTACTGCAAATAGATCTTATCGAACTCACTAAATCGTGTACGCATCTGCAAATTGGATAGTTTCTTCTGCTGAACGTATTGCATATTCAAATAGCATAAAGTATTTATTTGCATGTTGTGCGAAAACCTCGGGGTTTTGAACTGTAGATATTTTCACACAGAAGAATCAAACTCCACTGAACCTAACAGAATATTACGTATAAACATCTTGATATCTGTTTGTGGATCAAACTTCTAACTAAAATATTGTATAATTAAATTTTTGCTTGATATTTAGAAACAGACTGAAAACTTATAACAAAGATCATAACTCAAGAATAAAGTGCAGATTTTTATACGACGAATCATAGAATTAGAAAAAGTTGAGTGTAAATAAAAGACATAAACTGAAGTGATTCTTTATTATTAGTGTTAATCATTAAATTTATTATATAAATTGCAACTTTTATCAAGAAATAATTTTTTTCTGAATTTAAATCGTGCTTCTATTAAAAATAATTTAGTGTAATATAATAAATATACCGTTGACTGTAATATTTTGATCTATCATGACGGTTTATGTGCATCATTTATTCTGACTTGCCTTTTTGTACTCACTAATTTAAATTTACAATCATGGTCTGTTAATAAAGAAAAGAGTCACGTGTTACTCTATACTTTTTATTTATTTTATGATGAACAGATCAAGTTGAAGAAAATAATTTAAACAATCGTATATCCACCATCAATAACACCATTTGCTTCAGTTGTAAACGAGGACAGATCTGCAGTAAGGAAAACAGCCATATTAGCGATTTCTTGTGGATGACCCAATCGTTTAATATGTTTTCCTCCATGGTTCTCATCAAATTGTGTTTTGGTAACACCTGTTTCAACTGCTGTTCGATACAATGTTGGAGACTCAATGGCGCCCGGACTTATTGAATTGACTCGAATATTGAATGGATCAAGATCAAGTGCTAAATTTCGTGTCATTTGAATAATCGCACCTTTTGACGTTGCATAAGGAAAAAAACTTGCATGAGAAACAAGTCCAGCAGCGCTAGCTAAATGAATAATTGAACCACTTTTTTCAAAAATAGGTATAATGTGTTTGTTCATTAAAGCATAGCCACGAACATTAACATTCATAATATTTGACCAATCATCAGAGGAAACTTCTTCAACATAACCAAGTGTAAATATAGCTGCTCTCAAAATAAATAAAAAAAGACAATATAAAAAGATAATTTTATATTTTCAACAAACGTGTTGATAAGAATATTTATTGTTTTCCATTTGTTCAATATTACTTCAATGGCTGTTTTGATCGACGCTTCATCTTGTACATCAAGTTGAACTATAAATATTCGATCATCTGTATTTTCAGAACCAAATGTTTCATTTTTCATTTAGGTAGTTACATCCACATTTAAATCAGCTAATACAACATGAGCATCATGAACATAACATGCTTGAGCAATATGTTATGCAATCCAACCAGCACCCGCAGTTAAGAAGACAATTTTGTCAGAAAGAAGTAAATCCCAACCACCGATGGAAATATTCTGAATTGCCATTTTTTTTATTTTGACAAAAAGAATCTAAAAAATACGAGAAGAAGATAAAATATTTATCATTGATTTCTTTTCTTGCATTCTTTCATACACTTATTCTTAATTATTGTGTAAGTAATATATTATTTAAAATATGTTCGCTGTCAATCCAAACATTTTACATGTCAATCGATCACATGATAAGTATTGGGAAAATTTGTAAAGCAGAAATTCTGAGGTTCATTTGGTTTTTAGAGATGATTCAAATCTGGCGTACTAATCAAAAACCAACTTGGCCGATTAATAAAAATAATGAAAATTGATTGATCTATCAATATTGTACAATTTCCTAGCGACAAATCATTAACAAAGCATACTAGTAATCACATTAAAATCATGACTGAAGAATAAAAATGAAGAAAACACATTTTAAGCACAAATTTTTGACGAAGTATAGAACTACGATGACAAATATCATGTCCAATAAATTTCGATATTGATTTACTTATTACTAAGACAAAACAAAAGTGACATTATTTTGTTATAAAATCTGGTAGCATTCTATACTTTTATCGTAGGTTATTGTCATATTTTAGTCACACAAATCTGAAGAAAACTTATCTATTTGAAGCACTACAAATAAACAAACTGAACTTTCTAAGAAATACTAGAAAAAGGCAAACTTACCAATTTGATTTTCATGCTTGCAACTCATATTTTAACGAGAATATTTTTTTGAATTTCTGTTCTTAAGATCATCGCAATATAGAATGAAAATTTTAATATGTATTTTGAAAAAGTCACAGGAAAAAAATTCTCAAATGAGTACATAAATGTTGTGCTTCATAGTCAATAAAAAAAATGATAAGAGATAGCAAACTATAACGAAACGTGATACAATCTCACATAGTATTTTGTTTTCGATCAATGTCTTTTCTTGTCCTTCATTTGATTGAAAAAAAGAATGATATATGTAGTTTTCTTCTCTTCAACTTGAGCTATGAACGTCATTCTTGTGATGCATTTAACATATGTTCATTTAAAGACATTCGATCGATTATTAGTTGAAAACACTTTTTTTTGAAGTATTCACATTCATAGTCACAGAATATCCAGATTTAAAATAGCCAAAAGTAATAAAATTCTCTTGATTCACCTGATAAATATTTAGAATGCAAGAATTTTTTCAGTATTACGATAAAAATTTTATATGATAACTTCTCTAAAGCTTATGATTCACAAAATTGGCATGGTCTTTATTAAATTGTATGCTTTTCTTCACTTCGGTGTTGTCAAAATTCATCTTTTACAAACTACTTGAGATATTAAAAAATGAAGAACAAAAATTTTTCTTTTGTTATTATCCAGCAAATATGGTTTCTCTAAATTATGAAACCTGATTGCTATAAAAATAACTAACATCCACATGTTCTATCGAAAAAAGCAAATATGACATTTATCTACCTTCAGTGATGTCCAGCTAAGAAACAACAGAAGATAAAATCCGACGGAGTCTGAATAAACCAAGTGCACATATATCTGCATTTATAGATATATAGATATATAAATCCTTTAAAATGATAAGAAAAAGGAGCTAGTGTGTTGCTTTTATCATTTCTTTTTGCGTGTTATAGCACTACTCAAGTTTCTTCTTTCAATCTAAACCAATTGATAATGTCTTCTACATCGGTTACAACCATAACTGAAGTGACAGTAAATGATATACGTTTTCCAACTTCTAAACAGCTTGATGGCAGTGATGCTATGTCACCAGATCCGTAAGATTTTTCTACTTATCAAACGATGGAAATATTTCTTGATTTCAAATTGATAGGGATTATTCATCAGCCTATGTAATTCTTCATACCGATAATCCATCACTTGAAGGCCACGGTCATTCGTTTACAATTGGCCGTGGCACCGAAATTATTTGTGTTGCTATAAAAGCTCATCAACATTTACTTATTGGTCATACACTCGAAGAATTTATATCGAATCCTGGTGCTTTTTGGCATCATTTGACAAACGATTCTCAACTTCGTTGGATCGGACCAGAAAAAGGTGCAATACATTTAGCACTGGGCGCTATTGTTAATGCTCTTTGGGATTTGTATGCCAAACGTGAAGGAAAACCATTATGGAGACTTATTTCAGATTTTACACCTGAAGAATTTTTGAAGTGTATTGATTTTCGTTATATAAGCGATGTAATAACTCCTGATGAAGCATTACACATGTTAAAAGAACTTGAGCCAACGAAATCTGAACGGGTGCAACAAGTTGAAGAACAGGGCTATCCAGCTTATACAACATCTGCTGGTTGGCTTGGTTATTCTGATGAAAAAATACAACGTTTATGCCGAGAAGCTATCAATGAAGGTTTTACACATTTAAAAATAAAAGTTGGCCGAGATTTACAAGATGACATACGACGATTAAAAGTAATTCGTCAAGAAGTTGGATATGACCGTCGTGTTATGCTTGATGCTAATCAAGTATGGAATGTTGATCAAGCTATCGAATGGATGAAAAATTTAGTAGAATTTTCTCCGTACTGGATTGAAGAACCCACATCACCTGATGATATTCTTGGTCATGCTCGTATTTCACAAGCACTTCAATCATATAATATTGGTGTTGCTACAGGCGAACATGGAATGAATAGAATACTATTTAAACAAATGTTACAAGCAAATGCTTTGCAATTCTGTCAAATTGATGCATGTCGATTAGGTGGAGTTAATGAAGTGTTAGCTGTACTTTTATTAGCGGCGAAATTTCATGTGCCTGTATGTCCGCATGCTGGTGGTGTTGGTTTATGTGAACTTGTACAACATTTATCGATGATTAATTTCGTGGCCGTTAGTGGAACATGGGAAAATTGTGTCACAGAATTTATTGATCATTTACATGAACATTTTGAAGATCCTTGTATTATCAAAAATGGGCGATATGTTGCACCAAGCCGACCAGGCTATAGCACGCAAATGAAAGAAAATAGTCGACAAGAATATTCATTTCCGAATGGACCTGTTTGGAAAACAGATACATAAAATTTATTTCCCTTTTTTTCAACACTAAATTGTTCGCCTGTTTAAATTATTCTATGCTTTTTTTTCTTAATCTTTCATGTGAAAATGAGTAGTATATTTCAGAAAAGTTAGATGACATTCAATATCTAAACATATGTTGTTATATTGAATAAAATATGAACTCTATTTAATAAATTACTATTTTAGTCATATATCAATCGTTAAATTATTTTTATGCATAATCATATTTTTCGAAACGAATAATTGTGTCATCTTTTCAAGAATATGTGTTGCAATAGTGTTGCAAAAGTCTATTCCTCACATTTTATTTGCTACAGATATTATTTCGAAGAACCTCTTTTCTTTTGCTTCAGCCTTGATTAGATATTGCTCATGACCAATTCATTGTTGTCTAGTACCTATTTTTTTTATCGTTTGTCGCTATATAATTAAGATTTCCCTTTTTGTTTCACTCAATTTCAATGGTACTAGAAGCAAATAGATTTTGATGATGTTCAATTCGAAAATTTTACAAAAAGTACGCTTATTCGTTATCTGTTGATTAATATACGAATTCATCAATAGGTTTTTGATAATTCATCAGTTCTGTTTTCTTTTAAATGAAGAAGAATTCGTTTACTAGTCCTATTGAGAAAACATCTTTTCTCGTATAGTAAAGATTACTGTATTTTATTTATTTATTTATTCTTATTTATGCAGCAAAGCTGTGATCCGAGAAAGATCCTTCCAGCACCGGGAATAGATAGTTACTGTATTTTATTTAAACACTATTATGAGCTATCATTTTCTCGTACCAAAGGCAACAAGAACTGCTATGATGATTTTCTATCCGGACTAATGAGAGATATAGGCTCACGAACAACAAAATTCAATGATGAATACATTATAGCATGCTATGACATCTGACAAGAAAAAAGAAAATTAGAAATTTGATACTTTTCAAAACATCTTTTCCAATAAGACATTTAAAAATCTTGTATGGCTGACCCAAAACCTAACCACAGATTTCTACAGAATAGATTTTAATCGAATACTGATATTACCAGATATTCTAGACTTTACCGGATATTTCTGGACTTTTTCTATGATTCAGTTGTCTCCTAATGTACGTAGCAATTTATTAATAATTTGAAGAAATCTTACTTCTTTCTTCCACTGGTTAGTTGAAAAAACCTTTAACTTTTTCGTTATTCTTACTTCAAATTTCTCAACTTTCTCTAAATCAACAAGAACAAAAAGAAGCAAACAATGACATGGTTGTATGCAAATGTCGATTCAAACCAACACGCTGAAGAATAAATGTAAATAAGTCTGTCGCTTTGTTTTTGCATGACATTTACATTTTTCCAAGAAAATATAAAACGGTTAGAATATGCAATTTAATAAAGTATTACGATGAGTCAAGATAAAGATATTCTCGAGATTGTTATATTGTTGGGTACCATCAAAAGAAATTTATATTTTCTAAAAATTTATCTTAATAGATTCAATTTTATTGACAAAAGAAGACGACTGAAAAATTGAGGAAAGGTTCTCTCAAAAGTTAGTTGATACAATTAGCTTTGATATGTTTTCGGTGCTGGTGTTAGAATTCTGCCAGGATAAGGTGGTGGTAACGCTTCTGTTACGGTACAGGCATTTTGATACGGATATGGCGTATCCGGTGGTAAAATAATGTATGGATTTTGACAATATGCAAGTGTTCGTCGTCTCTGTCTACAAGCCATGACCGTTATGCAGGTGATCAACAACATGACGAAAACTAGTATGCTTGGTAACACTATAGGAACTAACCAATCAGAAGATTTATACTTGGATTGGCATGTATTTGTTTTATAATCACAGTATTCAGATAAGCATGAATAACTGTACGTACATAGTTCACCGTAGTTTTTTTGTAATTGGCAAGTAAAGCCCGAATTCGGATCACAATAAGATACAAGGCCACATTCCCGTGGATGAATATAATAACCAGAACATTTGCGCCACAGAGGAATTGCTTGTTGGCATATACTTTGATTACAATAATATTCACAATTACTGTCGTCGTAACATGTGCAACCGAATTGGCAACGAGAAACAGCACAGATAGGCAATATAATAGCGATGAAAAGAATAAAAAATATTTTCATCGTTGTTACTTTAGAATGACTGACGACAAGTAAAAATAAGGTGATACTTATTAATGGTTGATAAGAGAATTTACATTCTTTTAAATATGAATTTTGTCATAGATGATAAAATTTTAGATAACACATCATGACGTCATATAATCTAAGATATAATTCATGTTTCTTTGGATAAGTATATATTTTCCATCAGTATAATATTATCGAATATTCTACAAGTCAAATTGTTGTCTCATTCAATTAACATTTTTTCTTTAATTTATAATATTTTTCAACAGCATTCGCCATTATTTCTATGAATCCTATGTAATAAATATATGTCTTGGTAGCATTATATTGTAGATTACTATAGAAAACAAATGTTGCAATGTATAGTCAAAAACGAAAAGAATAATCTCTATGCGCTAATCATTGAACCTGTTGATGTAATATTATTTTCCTAAAATTACAATAATTAAATTTAATGATACATTTTTACTGTCCAAAAATAATTTCCTTGGCACACGTACTATATATATATATATAAAGAGAGAGAGAGAGAGATTAATTAAACTGTCACGTGTGTACTGGGAAAAGAATTCTGAATAATTTTCCATACTTTTTATTCACTAAAAGATGAATATGGCAAAAGTACTAAAATCGAATCTGTAGACAACGTTTATATATTATATCTTATCATCAGTGCAATGATAATTACGTATTTAGTTTTTTCACAATGAAAGAGTTTCTATCAGATTAGAATATATGAACAATAAGATAAATAGAATTAGTTTCACAATAATCCAAGTTTAACTATTCGAAAAAATTGCAATGCTTGTATTATTGGTATTAAATACAAAATACAATTGGTTTTCATAGACAGTAAAACAATATATCCATTAAGTAAATAGGTTTATTTCGATATATTCGAAAATATACTTTACAAACTCAATGAAGAAACTAAATACCTGTGATTAGTTTAAGAGAATTGTGATGCAAAAGTATTGTTGTCACATTTTTCCACCGAAACGGAACGATACTGAAGTCGAATTTAACATAACTGTAAAAAGAATATTGTGTCTGATTATAACAGCGAGTATTCAATGCTTTCATATGATATATTCGTATCTGCATTTTCATAATAAACTACATAAATAGTAAGCAAGTAATCTTTATTGGTCCAGTAAAAATATGAAATTTCATGTTGAAAAGAAAAAAACAAGTGATTTGGATTTGCAATTGTAATAAGAGAAATTGAAATGAACTTTTTATTGAGAAAAATATAGATATGATTACAATGAATAGCAGTGCTACGTAAGAAAATAAAAGAGAAAACAATATACAACATTGGATAAAGATATACCAGTGTGTATATAATATATCCCATTTCTTCTACTCATCACGTCTTTGTTGATCATAACGGAATCATATTAATATGCTCTTGATGAAAAGAAATTATGGTTTGAGATGGAAAACAGAGTATTACTGTATAAATTTCTATTTCTATCGCTTTTCAATATCTTTGAAATGATACGTATTAAATGAAATCAAAACAATTTTTAGCCAAAATAAAGACTTCTATTATAAGAATAATTCTCGCAATAGAAACGATTAACATAATATGAATCGTATCAAACTATGCCGTGGCGAATAAGTTGTGAGGAGATGGTATTGCCATGAATTCATGCACTTTAATCACTGTGCATACAGAATGTAGGAACTTAGAATTAAATAATTTACATTATGTTCTGTCATATGATGATAGAATACATGAGCGTAACGTTCAAATTACATGGGAATATATGATAATAAAAATTCATTGTAAGAATTAACTCAAAGTTGAAGATGAGCTTCAAGATAGTAACAACATCAGTTAGGTAACTAGTTATTTAGTACTTCATGATTGTACTTTGAGATGTGACAATCCATTATTCTCTTTGAATATCAATGCAATCGAAATTACCACTACGTGGTAAAAATAAACGAGTGAATTAGGAATTCGTACAACGTCCGAATGAGTCAACAGCTACTTCTATGTAAAAAGTTGTAGAATGATGAATACTGAAGATCGTGCTCATTCTTTTCATCTTCTTATTTTTCTCATTTGACGAGTTAAAGTTGTGAAGCATAACGATTGATACGTTGAAATCTCACCCGGTTCTTTGTTTCCTAAAAGTGTCTATGTGATTATCGTAGTTCAAATGTAGCATTTTCATATGGTAGCCAATAAAAGCTATATATCTATCACAGAATTTCAATAAAATACGCCAATAATCAATGATAAGTAGACAAGAGAAGAAACTATTCTATTTCGTGTAATTCGCCAAAGAAGAAAACGATTTCACCTGAATCAAATTCTTTATTATTGAATTTGTATTATAAGTTGAAACACATACTACATAGCTACATGTTTTCGAAATTCTCTCTTGAGATAAACAAAATATCAGGAATATTCATTGTGCAAATGTGAAGTCATATATTTATTTAAGAACACATATACTTTTATCAACAAAAACAAATTCTTTATGCAAAAAGAAAATGGCGACACAAAAAAAGAAAAGAAAAACAACATCAAAACAAAATGTATTCAAAAGAAAAGGGCTACAAAATGAAAAGACTACAAAAAAACATAGATTACAAAACAAGCAAAAGAAAATGCTAAACTGAAATAATATTAAAAAAAGTTCACTACTAAATGTTTCTTTTTCACATTTTTGGCCGAAATTATTCAACATGAACCCAATCTTGATTGTTATCTTCTTCTTTTTCTTCAACATTTAATTTTTTCATTGAACGTGTAACACGATCACTTGCAAGTTGTGTAGGTGCTGGACCCAAATCAAAATCATCAAAATCTGATCGGAGCCAATCCAACATCTCGGTTTTGAATACGGGTGGTGCTGTTGTGGTTTGATTTTCATTTGTATTAGTTGTATCAGTTGGTTGTGTTGACGGCAATGTATCATCTTGATCATGATCAAAATCTTCATAATGTTGTGCATGAATTCGATAATGATTTTTCATTCGATACGCTGATGGAATATATTGATTACAAATTTTACAAATACGTTTTCGAATTTCTTTTTTAACTGACGAACAACAATAATCGAATGGTAGCATTTCATTCTGAAACGAAAATGAATCAAAGAAAATTTTCAATAAATAATTTAATATATAAATTAATTTTTATTTTTACTTGTGTATTTTCAATGACAACACCATGAAATTGAATGCGTTGAAATAATGAACCATAAAATTGTCCTTTTTGATAGTCTTTTTCTGCCATGCGAACACCATATGGTGTACGTTCAAATGGTACAGGTGATGGTAAAAATCGATGTGGAAATACTTCAACATAATTCGAACGCCATGGTCCGCAACATTCAACTGAATTACAACGAACGATTTGTAATGTATATTGCGTTTGTAGAACATGCATTGCACACCAATATTCATCGATGTCATATTTTGGAATATCACCGAATTTTTCTCTTGCAGAACGAGCATTCTCTTGATAGTATTCATCCGATGCATGCACACGAGATTCGTGACCTTCTTCAGCTTCTTCTTCAGCACAGACTCTATTTAGAAGAAAAACAAAATAGCGAATGAATCAATTGAATAAATAAAAATTTACTCTCGCAAAAGTTCATCCATAACAAGTTTAACATCGATTTGTCGACGTTCATCATCTGATGTAGCTGGTGGATTGATATATTCAGCGAAACATGGATAACCATCAATAACTGTTTGATTCCATGTTTCAGCTAGGATTTGTCCAGCTTTACGAAAATTTAATTTCTCTAAATCAACATTTATTGTTGCACCTGAATCATTTAAATGTGAACCAAAATGATCATGTGGTAATATAAGACCAGCTAGATCATGAGATAATGGTGCCATGCGACGTTCAACTATATTGTAGGCTGATTGGCCAGGACTAGAAACAACAATGAAAACAAGAAATATTGTTTTGTAAATCAATTAAATGAAACTTACGCATGTGTAAGACAAAAAAGTGCATCTAAATCATATTTTTTAAATTTTCTTATACTAGCAACAAGTGTTTTAGGGAAACGTGGGTTTTCATCAGGACCACCATCAACAGTAACAATAACAATTGGTTTAACTTGTCCTGTATCATCACGTGCTACTTTTTCAAATTCTTTTAAATGAACAAGACGATCAAAGTCGACAGCATGCGAGTCAGCATTTGATTGATCATGTTTAGCTGAACGAACTGCAATATATGTTGGACCTGAATAACCTAAATCGCCATCTTCAGATAAAAGACATGCCGCATAGACGCTCGGTGTTAATTGATGGCGGGGTGCAACCGTCCAATCGTGGTCAGGTAAACGTATACGATAATCCAAATGCATTAACATTGGTGCTTGAACACGTGCTGCTGGTAAACCAAGTGGAACTTTGCATTTGTCATCTTGGGATAAATAAAAAACACAATCATTGCCGAATATAGAAGCTAAATCCTTCATATAACGAATTGTTGCGGTGGCAAAATGACCATCTTCATGTTTTCCATGTTCATCATTTTGCGCACGGCGAAGACGAACTGGAACGGTTTGAATATGCCGACGGCCTTCAATTGATGATGCACGATGTGGTAAAAGGCTAAACAAAAAGATGATAGATTCGTTGTTTTCAATGAACTTTTAGTTTTTTTCCTACCGATAATAAAGTGTTGTTCGTTTAATATCATAACCACGTTGTTTGATTTTTTCACGTAAATCATCTAATGTCAAACAAGGACGAATTGTTTCTGATCGTCGTCGATCATCACTAGCACCACCAACCTTTGCAATCTCTTCAATAATTTGTAATAGATCAGGACATTGTTCTTCAACACGTGGTCGACCAACACCACGGCGATAGAGTTTATTTAACTGTGGACCTAATTCTGGTTTTGATTCTAATAAATTATCGACCTAAAAATATAAACAAAATCATTAAAGAATTAGAAAAAGAAAAAGATGTATTTTTATTTTCATCTTTTGTTTTGCTTCTTACAATTTTTTTCTGTTTATTTCGATATTTATTTGATGCACGTTGTTTCGATTGAAGACGTTTTAATTCATAAGCTTTCTTTTTCCGATCAACCATTAATTGTTTTAATTGTTTTTTATTTTCCGGTGTTGATAAACCCATTTGTCGAACTTGTACTAATGAGGCAATGCGTTCATTGATGGCACTTAATTCTTTATATGCACGTTCTTGTGCTGGCTGTCGAATTTTCTTTGGTAATGGCTCCAATGGACCACCCGTTGTTTGAGCTAATTTTGAGGGATCCTCAATAATATCTTCATCAGTTGGTTTACGTTTTTTAACATAATAACTTTTTTTCTTTTTTTTCTTTTTTTCTTGTTGTTGTTCTTCTTCTTCTTCGTCATCATCATCATCATCATCATCCAGATCATCTAATCCATTCCATTCTTCTTCTTCATTATCTTTTTTCTCACCGCTATTTTCTTTATTTGATGTCGTTACTGTTGTTTCGTTTGGTTCCACATTTTTAGAATTTTTTCTTGGTCGTCCACGATTATCTTTTCTTGGTGGATTAACCGGCGATGGTGGACGTGCAAGACCTTCATGTGCGGGTGCACCTAATTTATTATAAATTTCTAAATATTCTTCGATTTTCTCTTTAACCAATTCTTCGTTCGATTTTATTTCATTCCATTCAACTTGAGCGTCATGATGTCGAACCTAAATCAATATCAGAATATATATTCGTTTATCATGAAACCATTTGTTTTAAGGAATATGTTTTGATCACACTTGAATATTTGAATCCCATATAGTTTTATTCAATGTATTTATTCTCTTGATTTTTATTAATTTTTTCTTAGATATAAAAGAAGATTAACTTACAGAACGTTTCACATCAGGATGAGCTTTCATGTAAGCATCAACGAATGTTTTATAAAGACTCGACCCTTGAGTCTTTTTGCCTGCTTTACTAGGCATGATGGTGATGATGATGATAACAACGAGAACTTGAGGTTCGAGGAAGTGAACGGGTCTTAATGTGTATCGATGGTGGTGAGGAAGAATGTGAATGAACCGGGCAAATACACTAACGTATGCCACGAAGAAATGAGAGAAAATGTAGAATAAAGGCAGAGAAAAAAATATAGTAATCATAAAATAGTAGTGACCTTTTCTTTTACATACGGTCACGATACGAAGATGAGAGATAGAAGAAAAAAACCACTTATTAGTGGGTAACCGTTGGCTGTTCTCTGATTCAGGGTTGGTCGAGAAGGATATCGTGTCTGGAGGAGAAAAAAAGAAAGAAGGAAAGGGATAGACTATGTTTGACCGCGGACACGAGGAAAAAAATAACTCGTGACCATCATATACCCTACCATCGATCACCAAGTTTTTTCTTCCCATTGACCAATCTCTCACTGAGTTCACATATTTGAACAAGAAAAAAGTTCAGAAAAGTTATTTACATATAAAAAATTATGTTTAATCTTAGATAGAAATATCATTTATAATTTCTATTAATTTTAAAATTATCGAGAATAAGTTTATGTGTTTCATAATTTGCAAAGAATTTCATCGAAGTTTGTGAAAAATTCTTAATGAAAACTTAAATTGAACAATTATTTTGAAAGATTCAATGTTTTTCGTACAATGCTTAGGTGGCATATAGTTTCATTATTATATCAACGAGAAATAATCGACTCTGTTTTAGGTCGAACTGTTAGAAGTACAACTGAAAAGAAAAAAGAAAAAAGAAAAAAGAAGAATTTTAGTTCTTTTCATACAAAAATAAGAGTAATCAAAATAAGAAAAATCAAAGAATATTACAATTAAATCATGACACAGATTAGTATAAATCTCTAAGAGAAAATTATTCGACCGTGAATCATCGTTCTTTCATTTTCAGCTGTCATTGAAGAGAGAATAGTAAATTGAAAAGAGTAAAGCATTTTCAATGTTTATTACATTAACTAGAATTAAAAGTATCAATTGATCTAAGTGAATATATATCATGAATTTGATGAAATCGTATCACCATTATATTACACATTTTTGGGATCCTGAATAAGTTTTGAGTACTTGAACTCAAAATGAGTTTAAATTTTCAATCTACTAGCTTGTTGAAAATGTTTTGTAGAATGCAGATTGAAACTGAACTAGTATTTGATAAGTACCTAGATAAACTAAGGCAACTGTCAGCGAGGTATTCAAATAAGGCCCTACGATATACAAATAGCAGAGTATCCGAAAAAATACTCTGCTAACATTGTTCCAGCGAATAGTAACCTTAAAGTTGGTGCTATCAGTATATCTTGAGGGTGTGGGTGTAAGATACTGACTCCTTTGAACACTAAAATATTCAGAGATAAATTGCTGTATTTTGGATATACTCTAATGAATGTCGTATTTTTGTTTCTCATATTTTACTAGCAAAAATTTAAACAGAATTGGACACAAAATTAAAGAACAAAACCAACTGAAGTTGCGGCTGATAATATGAAAGCTAATCTCAGTTATAAGTGTCGAAAGGAGATTTTCGAAAAGCAACCAGAAAGCAATGTCCCAAAAACTAATATTTGACCTATGACTCAAAGTGGGGATTACTTTTCGCTACATTTTATTCTTATTCTTACAGAAAAATACATAAATGAATCATATACATCTAGAAATCGAAATGACGCATCTTTCTTATACTTAGTTCAATCTTCAGAAAATGATATATTTATTCGTCAATCATCTACTGATGTTACTATTTATAAAAATTTACTTGATACAAAATTTCAAGGTAAATAAAATTCATCAGTTCAATCAATTGACTTTGTTGTTTCAAAATTATTAGATTTAGATAATAATGAATATACAAATTATCATCATAATACATTTTTACTGATGTTATTTGATCGATGGCAACATTGTCGACAAATGAGTGATACAGCAAGAAATCTATTTTATCTTTCATCATTGACAGATATCAATAATGATACATTTATTAATAATACTGCTTATCTTGCTTCAATTATTCAACAAAATAGCAAGGCAATGGTAAATACTAATTTCAACATAAAAAGAAACAAAAAACTTCTATTTGTGTTTTAGTCATTGAATTCTCCACTAATTGATAATACAGTCAAATTAATTAACAGTTTAGAAAATATCGTTTGATTATTAAAGGTTTGTATTCTCATAAAGGAAATGAACAGGATCGATCTCTAATAACTTTTTACTGACAATAAAATTAATTCTATCGGTTCTCATTAAAATTCTTTGAATAAATATTTTATTTAATTAAATAAAATTTATTAAACAATTTTGAACTGACTACAATTCCATCTTTAATTTGTGGTGCGTGTTCTAAACAGAATAGTCTTATCGTATGTATGGATTTATTAAATAATGTTTTCAAACAAATCCAACATATGACAACATCAAATGTAAGTTATTGTATTTGTTTGCTACAAAAACAAAACCATCACATGTTTTGTTTTTAATTCAATAGTCAACAGCATCAGTTGATGATACATGTCAAGAGGTTTATCAACAACTTCATTCATCTTGGACAAGTATAATTCAATATTATTTGATTATATTCTATTTAAGATTTATATTTTAGCATCAGATGAAATATTCGATACATTTTGAAGTTTATCAGATTCTTTCGATGATCTTGATAAAGAATTGAATAAAATCTATGCGCTTTTTCAAACGTTGGATATACCTTTAGTTTGGTTACAATCGCCATTATTTGATTGGAAACAGGTTTATCTTTCTATTTTTTTGAAATATAAACAAGGATTTTGTTTTTAAATTTAGACAAATATTGATAACGATTTACATCAACAATTTTTAACAAATTTTTTTGTTATGAGTAAAATTGCTACAATGCGACAAGTTTGTCAATTGATTATTGATCATTCACAAACATTTAATAGTAAAATGAAATCTTTCGAATCTATTACTTTGTTTATTAAATAGATGTTAAATCACAAATAACAAACGATGATGATATTAGCACTATTATTGTTCAATATGTAAGTAATTCGAAAACATAGTTTCATCTATTATGTAATTTAATATTTGTCAGATGCTACAAAAGATAATATATATTTGATTTATGACACTACTTTATTATGATAGATTTTGAAATAAACACTGTGATTGTCTTTTGACAACACCCGGAAAACTAACATTCGACTTGAAACTTTATATACAGGCACGGATTCTTCTCATGATGTACATAGTTTCGACTTAAAAACGATTAATTAGTCGAGAGATTTCTCCATTGAGACAACATTTCCTTTACTCGAATCATCGTTTATAACTCTTCATATATCAATATAAATTGTTCTTTATTCTTTAGCTTGCTGATTTACCTTCTCTTGTAACGAGTTATTTAATGTTTTCATTAATTTCATCCTCTCAATCTATTCTTGAAAAGACTGTTATTCAAACTGATTATCAATTTCAAGATTCTTTAATAACACCAACAAATCAATTGGCTGAGATTCAACAAATTTTAGCACAAATAAATGATATTTGACAAAATTACAATAATGCTGAGTAAGAAAACGAGCTAAGCTTTTTTTTGTTTTTATTGATACAATTTAATATTTTTTTTCTAGACAAAAACTTCATTAGATATGTTACAAATACGAAAACATAGGAATGAAATGCATGTTGGAAAAACTTTCACTTAAATCGAATAATAAAACTCAGCAACGACAAGCAATAGTTGATGATTTAACAATGGTAGTATTAATAAATAGTCAATCAGTGATTCTTTTATTTTCATTTTCTATCGAAGGATAAAAATATATTAACTATTAGTGATAGTACATCAACAGTAGTTATTGATAAAATGACGAATCTTGAACAAACAGTTATTCAACGATGGGCTGCTGGTGCTAATCCATTAGTTCAAAATGTACTTGAGAAATTTGAAATTCGACAAAAAGAACGTGTTAATGAAATAAATGTATATAAATGTTTAAGAAAAAATCTTTTTATTTTTATTTCTAAATTTTATTATTTAGAATGATAGACAACTTTGTTTACATCTTGTTAACATTCTTCAATCGTGGCTTCTTTTTGAACAATATGAAGAACAAATAAAATTATAACGAGATTTAATTATTCATGCAAGAACATTTGCAGAAAAGTAAAGTTAAAAATGAACAATTTTTTTCTTGATTTCTTGTATTTTTTTTAGAGGCTTAGAAATTTGTCTATAAAAAAATGATATTGATTCAAATTTTACTACTGTTGAACAAGCAGTTTTTTAGAATTTCCAGTAACTTTAGTTATTCTCAATTGTTTTCGAACTCGTTTTTTTTTCTTTCTCGTTTAGCCAGTTGAAAATTTAAAACAAATAACATTACAAAATCTTCCATCTTTAATTGAACAAGCAGAACATGAATGTATGAAACATAAACGAAATCGAATTAAAGAAGAACGACAACTTGAAAATCGTCGGATATGTATTTTAATCATATAAATAAACATTCTATCTTTTGAGTGGTGTAAAATTTCACTTATTGCAATAACGTTTGTTGTCAAGAATCAGATACTCTATAAACTGTCTCATTAAGACTGCTCCGAACTACGAATGACATAAACTAAGAGTCTCGAAAAAATTTCGATGTAGTTTTGTACACTAATATTATTTTGAATTTAAAATCAAATTCAAAAAATATATTGGCAAAAAAATTATTAGTTTCTAATTCTACTGGACTACTTTTGACATTCAACATTTTTTTGAAATTAGCAGAAAAATTTTCGTACCAAAAAAATCTCGATTATATTTAATATAATTCTAGCAGAAATAATAAAAAATTTTAAAAATTTTCGTATGCAAAATATTGAATAATAAGCAAATAGTGAAATTTTGTTCTTCACTCGATCTTATGATCTCATAAGTTTACCTTACTAATATTTCTTTTCATAACAGTGATTTCTAGGACCGAAATCTCAAATAAATTTAATAATTATGTTTCATTTTCTGTTGCATAGGATGAAACAAGTCATTTAATAAGTGAATTAAAAAGTTTACTGAAAGTAAGTTTTTGTTATTAATTCAAGTTAGAAAACATTTTGATTTTTTTTCAAGATTATTCAAATATTCATCGTGAATTTCTTGAATTATGCCATACTGTTGTTAAACATACACTTCATGTGGATACAAATAGTTCTTTGAAATATGATGTACTTATAACAAAAATAAAACGAATCATAACAATTAAAACTAAGTAAACGGAAAAAAGTTAAATATTTGTTTTGACTAAAATTAACAAATTTTTTCGAATTTTTTGAAAGAGTTTTTGATGATTTAATTCAATTAAATCCGACTATTGATAATGGTAAGCATAGACATGATCTTAAAGAAAATACTTGAAGTTGGAAGAATAACTGTTTTTTCGAAAATTCTTCATTCTCAAATGCCTTTCCTATCAAGGATATTATATTTCCCTGAAGAAAATTTTGAACTCAAACTAACATATTATCTACATATTCTTTCCAACCGAGTCTGTCCTATTTTAAATTATTCAAGAGATACTAATACCGTAAAAAACACTATTTCTTGTCGAAGATACTATCAGCAAGAATAGTATATGTCTTGAAAAACAAAGCTATATTCTGAAAAACAACTTGCGTAGAAATTTATGAAATTCTTGTTTCTATAGCATTCATAAAAACAATCCATGCAAAAATTATTGATTAAGAATTTTTATGGTAATCAATCGTGAATCACTTGGAATAATTCTTAACGAAAGCAGTAAAATGGAATTTGCTGCAAAAATGTCTAAAACAAATAATAAGTTAGTTTTGGTCGAAAGAAAGCGAAAACTAATCAATTGAACGTAAAAGATCTCAGAAAACGAACTACACAATACCTTCAAAATTTTCCACAAAAACAACTCACATCGAAGTAGTATAACTATATATATAATATGTATATATCTGTGTACACTTGAACAAAATCACCTCTTATACCCACGTCCATCTTATTGATCATTGTAAATTTTGTCTTGTACATTTCAAAAGAATTTTCTTTTTTTATTTAGCAAAAATACATGTTTATTTATTGATAGACATTTTGACAAATCTTTCTACTAAATTTTAGCATTGATTATATAGTAAAGTTATACAAGAAAAATAAATGTATTTGCCCAGCACGCGATATGAAATATTGAATTCAGTTATATAATCTATCTTGATATTTGTCAAATGCTCGAAGAATATTTTCATAATGTTCGAGAACATATTCATATTGAGTAGCTGAATATTTTTTCCGTTTTTCTGGATCTGTTGCCAATGCTTCTAGTGCTGGATCTGCCGATCGAAGACGACGACGTTTATCAAACTAATAAACAAAAATAAAATTCATTGCACAAATAAAATCAATCGAAATGGTTACTTGTAGTGGTTCAAAAAGACGTTGTTTGACAAGTAAACGAAAACGTTTCATTTTTTTTTCATCATTTTCATTGATTGCTTGATAAAAACACATTACATGAACACGTCGTGTTTCTTGCTAGAACAAACATAATTCCCACTATAATTATTTAAATAAATAAAATCGAATAGTTTACTTTTGTTAATTTAGAAATATCTGGTGCTTTATCAATCATTTCCTTTGTTAAGCGATTCATTTTAATACTTGCTTCTTTTGAAAAGAAATCAGGTAAATATTTGTGACATAATTCTAACGCAACAAGATCACGTAATGCAACAAATTCATCTGATGGATCTTCAGCTAAAGAGAAAAAGATAGAATTATGTTTCGAAAACATTTGAAAGAGAATATATCATATGAAATCGATAAAATACGCGTCACAACTAAAAACAAACAATTAATAATTTCCATGCTACTAAACTAGTTTAAGATAAAACTTAACTATTCCCTTTATATGTTGACTCGTTTCATTACTTATTTACTTTCGATTTTCAAAATGTCAAAAACATCTAATTGAAATTGAGATTAACAAGTCAAATATGTAGTTCTCATGCTATGAAAAATACAGTTAATAATAAAAAAATCTTTTTAGTAGTGCTCCTAAACAAAAGAATTGTTGTTCCCTTAAATTGAATTTACTTTGAAAAATTCAAATTTTGACCTTTTATTTAGAGAAACGATTTTCGCTTCAAATATCAAAACTCTGATGTTTTATCGAAACTAATTGCGATACCTGTTATATCTTGAACACGTGAATCTTTCCGCAAATCATTATAAATGGCTGTTAAAAGACGTCTTCCATGACCTTTCCTTTGATATGGTGGTAAAATTAATACTTAACTAAATAAAAATTAAGAAAGAAAAAAAATAATAACACATTGAAAAGCAAAACCTTTTCTTACCTGATTCTTGGTCGTTTCTTATCCGGATAAGCATAATAGAAATAAACTGTAATATATCCAATAGGCGCATAACATATTTAACCACTATCATTTTTATATTGCTGATAAAGAAGATAAATAACCCAATTTGGATCATCTTTAGCAATTCTTGATGCAGCATCAATAAAAAATACAAGAAATGTTTCAAGACGTGAATACCATTCAATGAATTTTTATCATCACAAAAATTTTGATTAACACGATTTATTAAATATGACGTAGACTTTTCTCCATTTAACTCACATGATAAAATTTGTTCTCCAAATGGTGCATATTCATTTTCATTTTTCAATTTAGATAAGAATAAATCTAAATTTGTTGTTGTTGTTGTTGTTGTTGTTGACGGAATCCATTGATTTAACGATTCAATTAAATCATCAGCCTATTAAAAGAATATTTTTTGTTTTCGTTACTTTGAATTGTTAATATTTTTTTGGATTGATTTTTTCTTCATAATCAATATTTAAATAAAAATTAGTTGATAACGATAAACAAAAAATATCAATTGTTAAATTTTTATATCCAAATATGCGTTCACTAAAAAAAGAAGAAAAGACGTTTCATCTCAAATATATTTTAAACTTGATCATTTGATTCGATTTTTCCTGTTAATGTCATACATCAAAATTTTAATAATGCATAATTTAAAAAATCTTTGTTTAGATTTATCTGAATGAGTTAAACTCAATTGTATTATGTGCTAAGCAAAATATTTATCTATTTAACTTTAAAAACGCTGAAATGAAAGTTACTTTTCTCCAAAAATTTGATGGGTAAATTCCGATGCAAACTCAATGACCTCATTGTTTACATATTTTTCCGATCGAACTAAAACAAAAAAGTCATTAGAATCAAAATCAAGAAAATATTTTTGTAAACTAACTTAGTTCAAATGCAATAACTTCATTAGCTGAACAATAAATGCTCGTAACGGAGCAGAAAGAAGGATACCTGTTTAAAAAAAACACATTTTTTTATTTGTTTCTTTGTTTATTCCTTTTACCTTGTTCATTTAGATCCATTTTAGTTGCTTTCTGAACGAAAAGAAAAAATCTAAAAGTACAGTATATAGAGTAATAGACATTTAACATATTAATGCACTGATATGATGAATTTCATTGATTGATTTTTATGAACCATAAATTCTGTCATGAATATTCAGTTAATTAATCTTATTCCGAATCCGAATAAAGAAAGGGGTCGAACACACTACGCGAATTAAAACTGCATTAACGAATAATTCGTCTCGAAAAGATGACTTAATTCTTAATGCATCAATCACGTTGCTTAATTCGGTATTCATTTTTCTAGTGTGTTCGACCCCAAAACGTTGTACATCAATAGAAAATCGTCGGGATAATAATTCTTTAGGTCGTTTAACAAATCTATTAAATACAGATGAAACAATTGATCATGAAAAAGTTCTCAATCAATGTGGAAAATATTTAAGTGGAATTAATTTAGATGGATTTTTTGAATTTATCTATAAAAAGAATCAAATTAGTTTAATTGAAAAATATCTGAAAATTATTGAAGATATCAGTGAAAAACAATTAATACAATCATTAAATTTAACATTTGATTATTTATTATTAATATTGAAAAAAAGCTATGATTATATTGGTCATTAACCAATGCAATGAGATTGTATTTAGGTCCGCCCAAATCTGTTGAACTCGGTGAACAACTTGTTTCTTATTTAATTCATTTTCAACAACCAACATCATCAATTGTTGATTGGCTTTGTGCATTAATTGATGCACATTTTTCATCACTTGTTCTTGCCAAACGGAATGAAATTCATTTAATAGAAAAATTTGTTCACGATCGTTTAAATACGTTCGATTTACTTCAAGGTTTAAATACAATAAAAAAAACAACATCTGCATCAACAACAACAACAAATAAAAAAGTTCTTGATAATTTTTATAGTCTTCAAAGGATTCATTTCAAATAAAGAAAATCATTGTTTTTCTTGTTTTTTATTTTTATTGATGAGAATTCAAATGAGACGAGAGTTCGACCCGACTGCAGGTGACTTACGGATAGACATAAAATCTTATTACAAAACCAAATTATTTCTCTTTTTTTTCCATTCTTTTCTGCTATAAAGATACCATTCATTTGCGGTTTTTTCTGTTCTGTTATATGTGTTTATGACTTATTATAGATGGTATAAAGTTTGTCGTTCTAGCCAATGGTTGGTACAATGGGAACTCGTCGTTTGTCGACAAATACTGTTCCCCATGAAAAATCGCCCTTCAAATCGTTATTTTATTCACAATTCGATTCAACTAGAAAAGAAAATAAATACTATTTAAATTGAAAAAAACTTATCCATCAAATCAATGTTTACTGGTCGTCACATTAATCATTCATGCACTGATTAATTTAACTGAAATATTATTATTTAAGTCATCATGGAATCAATCGAAAATAATTCATATAGCTTTATTAGGTATTAGTATTTGTTTCAATATTCTATCATTATTTCTAATTAATCATTTAAAAAATCGTATTTTATCATATATAATATTGCTCATATGTATTTGTTCATTGGTTATTTTAAGTTCTTTGTATCCATTAGAATGTCATATATATTTGTTAATTATATTAATATATACATTAGCAAATTTTTCTTCACTATTATCGGTTTCAATATCGGTTTTAACAACAATAATTATAACAATAATAACATTAAAAATAAAGATGCGTTTAATTTTATTATTAATAATAAATATGATTGGCATTTATTTGAATCGTCTTTTGGATATAACAATGCGTTCAGCATACAATAAATTATGTGAAAGTAAGTTTATATTATTTTGTTTTTGTTAGATAAAAATTTCAATAAATAAAATCAATTGAAAATAGATGCAGTTATTCGTGGTTCGTTACTTAACGAACATACATTAATATCGAAAATGATTGATTCATTAATGCTACGTAAATATGCTAAAGTAATTATGGAAGATTTTGATGTATTTCGTGAACGTGTACAAAATGTTAATGCATCACGTCAAGGTGATGACGATTTACAAATGACTATTTTTCGACCATTACATATTGAAAGAATGGAAAATGTTTCAATTTTATTTGCTGATATTGTCGGTTTTACTCATATGTCATCGAATAAAAGTGCATCACAATTAGTATCATTATTATCCGATTTGTATGGACGATTCGATGATTTATGTGTTCAAATGTCATGTGAGAAAATAGCTACTTTAGGTGATTGTTGTTATTGTGTTAGTGGTTGTCCTGAACCACGTGAAGAGCATGCAAGATCTTGTGTTTTAATGGGTTTAACTATGCTAAATGCTATCGAAGAATTTGATCAAGATAATTCCGAATATGTCGATATGAGAGTTGGTGTTCATTCAGGTTCAGTTAATTGTGGAATTGATTGCAACAAGAATTATTATTGCGGTTGTTCATCCTGATGCAGCAGCAGACCCATCAGTTATTGATCCAGTTAGAACCAAAGGAATATGCTGCAACAACACGATTTGAAGATAAAGCTTTAATTGCAATTAAGCCAATGGTATTTGACAAAGAAACAACAAGTAAACATTTTATTATTATAGAATTGTCAAACAAAAACAATTATCAATTTAGAAAATTCACTGTATTTCATTTTATTTGTTTTAGTTCATGGAACTCGTATTTCTCGTCAATCATGTACTTTATTTTTGGCTATTGTTTTAATACATGAAATTACTCATGCAGTTAAATATTTTAGCAAGAAACAGACAACCACACCAGAATTACAATTTTTTAGCACATATTCAAGTCCCGATGAACACGATGGTGGAAATGCATTGGAGCATGAATTGCTTTCTGGTGAAATCCATATTAATCGTGATTCCACACATACGGACGTGGAATTGTTTATCCTTGGTGCTGATGGCCGTAATTTTAAACTGTCGCCATCAGATATTAATTATTGTTTATTAAATAATAGTCTTCGGTCATTATCATCATTAGTTCAGCGGTTACGCTTGAAACGTCGACGTTTGAATGATGGCAGAAAAATTCAATACAATTATTCCGAATCGCCTGATTCCGAAAAACAAAAAAACGATCAAGAACTGGTACCTATACTCCACTATCATACGCGAAGAATTGTTTTTCAAGCAACTGATGATGTTGATACAAATGAATCGTATCAATCGTTGTTAAAAATACCACGGTGAAACACATACTTCGCAAGCACAGTCTCCAGATGATCCGCTATTACATGTTTCATCGGATGATGTTAATGGAACAGGTTATCGTTATATTTTACCGGAAAATATCTTTAAAACATTTATTGTTATATCCGATCGTCGTACACAAGTAAGACATTCAATAGAAATTTGCAAAAAAAAAACAAATAATTTATTTTAGATTGCTGCCCAGGACGAACATTACAGTGGCCGTAAACGGTGGAACCCAACTACCGTAAACGTTAAAAACAGTGCCGTGACACGGTCGTATTTTGAACGAAACGACAGTTTACGACAACGAGAATCGTCGTATATTAACATATACAGCCGTTTACGACCAACACGACTACCGTACATCAAAGTAAACGGCCGTTTTCCATTCGTTATTCTCGATGATTTCACCTGCAAATCCAACCGATTTCATTCGGATTTCAAAAAGATTTCATTTGCATTTCAAAACGATTTCATTTGGATTTCATTCATATTTCATTCATATTTCAAAAAGATTTCAAAAAGATTTCAAAAAAATTTTTTTCAGATTTCAAAAAGATTTAATTTGGATTTCATTCAAATTTCAAAAAGGTTTCCAAAAGATTTCAAGAAGCTTTTATTCAGGTTTCAAAAAGATTTCATTTGGATTTAAAATGGATTTAATTTGGATTTCAAAAACATTTCAAAAAGATTTAATTTGGATTTCAAAAACATTTCAAAAAGATTTCATTTGGATTTGAAATTGATTTCATTCAGATATCTAAAAGATTTTGTTCAGATTTCAAAGAGATTTCATTTGGATTTCAAAAAGATTTCATTTGGATTTCAAAAAGATTTTATTTCGGCTTCAAAAGAGATCACAAAACGATCCCACTTGGATTTGAGAAAGATTATATTTCAGGGTCAAAAACACATTACCTTTCGACATGAAAATCAAGCGGTTTCTGAGAGAGTGGGAATTTGCTGGAACATAAATGGGGATTTAAGGGAAAGCCGAAAAACAAACTGAATCGCGAACTTGTTACTTGACTTGAATGCGGAAAGTGGTCAAACGAAGATTCGACGACAAGAACTCGAAGATAAATCTGATTTCGCATCTTTAATCTATCCCTGAACTCAATAACTAAAGGGAAGAAAAATCTGTCTATATATAGAAGTTCTCGCGCGAAACAAAAAGGTGAATGATTGCGCGACGCGAGATCCAAGATAAATCTGATTTCAGATTTCGGATTTTAAATCTAACCCTGAATTGAATAACTAAAAACGAAGATAAATATTGAATGCGTGGGTGTGGGTTTGGGAGTCCGAACGTGGATTAACGGAAAATAACAGTTATACGCAGATCCACCCACACCCACACCCTCAAGATTTTCAATGGCGCAAAAAGTTATCAAAATCATTGGAAATCATGAGAAATCAGTAGAAATCATGAGAAATCAGTAGAAATAATTAGAAATGATCAAAAATCATCCGGATTTTGTGGGAATGGACAGAACGTTTAAGAAATTAAAGAAATCGTGTGAAATCAGACTAATTTTCTTGAGACCTTTCAGATCGTTTGAAATGATTTCTAAGGATTTTTAGCTATTTCAAATAATCCCTTTTGTTTTCTGATGATTTCCATGATTTTGCAATGATTTTCAATGATATCCATGATTTGTACTGATTTCGATGATTTCGTCCGATTTCATACGATTTCGATTGATTTCGTCCGATTTCATACGATTTCGATTGATTTCGCCTATTGAAATCAGTTTGTTTCCCCGTGTTATCGCACATTCTGAATGTCGTTCACAGTCACTATATTTTTACGGTAGTTGTAAAAGTCGAACGTTTACGTTCACTGTTTACCATTAACGTAATACCTCGTAAGACTTCGTATATGACCGTCGTCTACAGTCGCCGTATTTTCACGGTAGTCGTAAAAGGCGAACGTTTACGGTCATTGTTTACGATTAACGTAATACGCCGTAAAGCGTCGTATATGACTGCCGTAAACAGCCACTGTAAACGAATGCCGTTTTTCAACGTAAATGATTGGTGTACGGCCGTTTACGGCCGGGCAGGAACGACCTGGGAATGATCAATGTTCCTTGTGGAGAATGTTTCAAATTTTTCTTGTTCATCGTTTTCTATATTTGAATATGGTGAAAAAATTGCAACTGGAACTTCTTCATTGTTAATAATTTGAGGATTGCTATTACTGTCTGTATTGTAGAACTTATCAGCATCGCCTTTACATCTCTTGCTTGATACAAAACAGGTACTACTATCATTCTGTTTTTTACTCATTATTTTTAATATTATGTTCCGAAAAAAAGGTTTTTATTACATATCAATGATAATATTAAAAAGAATTCTTTTTTTGATGTTTAAAAAACAATGACTATAATTTTGATAGCACATTTTTCTTTTTGAAGGGAGACCAATCATCACAATCCTGCTCTCTAGCGATGCCGTTGGTTTCTATCTATAATCAACAGATTGTCAAAAATAATGCTTTTCTGAAATTTCGTAAGCATATGGAAACGTGTGACATCTTTTTTTTCTTTTTTTTAATTATGAGTTAAAATTCAAATATCTATATATAAAGAAATAATTACAAATAAAAAAGAAAAATTTTAACTGATAATAAATAGTTACTAAAAACAAAGCATTTAAAATTTAAATTGCGGTTCTTTGTTCATGGTCTTATTTAATATATGGACGGCTATTAGCGCAATTTTTCTTATTGTGCCATTGATCAGTAAAGCAATGTCAATTCTTTTTCACATATGTTTATTTCATTAAATTAATTCTGTTCTAGATGATAATCCCATCAAAACAACATCGTACACCAGATAATCAAACACCTAGTTCGGCACAACGAACATGTATGAAACTTGTTTTTTTTCGGTTTTATTTAGCTGCTAAACGCCCTAATCCATTAACAACATTACAAGAAGATGAATCAGTTGCTAGTGCAGCACAAGTTCTGCTCTTCAAATACCTTTTGCATCAGGTCAAACACCGAACAAAAATCGACATTTATTTTAATATAAACAAAAATCTCTGTTTAGGTATGGCATTTTCATCACTGACATTTACAACATCACCTGCACAAAGTAATATGAACAATAGCGCTTGTACACCAATGTCAACACCATTTCGAGCTCGATCTGATCTTATGTAGTGCAGGAAAATTACGTTTAATTCATGGACAAGAGAAATTAGTAAATTCATTCATTGAAATAATTGAAAAAGAAAAGAAAAGAAAATTTATTTTAGGAAGGTGATATCTATATTATAATGTACATTAAG